AGCCCATTCCGGGAGTAGCGCCCTAAGCCCACCCGAAAGGGACATAATGGGTACCCGCCGACACGAGTGCAAGGCCGGCCAGACAAGCGGAGCGTGCCAAGGTCTCTGGGAGATCAGATAGAGCGTATCCACAAGCCTAGGATCAGCTCAGAATTGGTTCGACGTGTAGGAGTTGTAATCCCTTTCGAGCAAGCTTTTTGAGGCAGGAGAACGTTGCTGACAGCCGTTGACGTAGTCCCGTGTAGAACGGATTACGTCAAAATCGCTGCAGCCGGAGCACCCCCAATTTGGGGGCGGGAGGGCTGTTGTGAAAATGAACCCTCGCGCTCGATTTATTAGGAAATCAATTCAAAGCAGTGCTGCCGGCGACATATCCCCCCAATCCGCCGATCCTGGCTCAACGTCCCATCGGAATAACTCCAACGATTTTCCAATCCGAAATGTTTCAATGTTCCCCCCACCGGTTCCTCTCGCTAAAACCCAAAGCTAATGTGCATCATCAACCATTACGGTTGCGTCATATCGTTCAGGCCAGTCTAAACATATCTCAGGGAGCGGTGCGATGTCGCCTCCATGTGAAGACCTGCCATCGTTCACAATAAGCCTGCGTCTGAATTTCCATTGATTTGTCCAGCAACGTTCTAGATGCTCGACATCGCAATGCGATAAATCCTGTTTTGTTCATTGCTGAGCGTGGGCACCACATCGATAATGCTTGCGTGATTGATGGCACATCGCTAAGAATAGATCGCCCTCGCCTTCCACGCAGGTTGTGCCAATAATCGCTTAGATACCCGGACCGAACCAAGGGCGTCGGCTTCTGTTCCCTTCCTTTCAGCAATCTTTTGCTCAAGCCGGTGCATAAAGGTGACATTGCCTGACATCATTCACGAGCACTTTGCAACCCGTTCCGTATTTCTGCAAGAACAGCTGTAGCAGCACGTCAATCACTACCACCACCTGTGCATCACTCAAGACCCAGGTATGTTCGAATCCGACAAAATGACCCCGCGTCCTCAGCGGGTGCTCCTGCTGGGTGTCATGACGGAACGCAGTGATCGGGATAAGGGCCCCAGCTTGATTCAGCTGTGCTAATTTCGGATTTTCAGCCAGTGCTCTTTAGGCATGGTGTGTCGAGAGGGGTGTTCTGTAATCATCGTTTGAGGTATGCACCCTCACATATCTGCTGAGGCGGGTAAAACGAGATGGGCTTGGTAATTTCAATCGTTCCAAATGCTGAAAATTCGTTACGACCGAACCTGTTAATTTCTGTGTGACAAGCGTCCCAACCCTAATGGCTTTGTCAGAAACCCCTGCCGGTATCTTATTGCGTGGATAACATGATAACCGTATCAAGACCTCATCAACGGTATATGTCACTGGTGTCCATAGGTCCTTTTTCACCCTGTTCCGGCAACCGCGACCAATAATTTTGAGTATAAATCCCCCAATCGGTATCGGAGCGAAATCTTTGGGAATTTGTACTTAGTGTTGATGCATAAAACATATCTATTGGTGTTCTGGCAGCAAGTGTCCAGATGTTCCCAAGTGCTCTCGCACATGTAGCGGCTCGCCGTTTATGGAATAGCGAATCTCACCCACGACACGTGCTCAGGAGATCGCCAGCCCTATATAATACCAACACAGCTACGCGTGTTCCTCAAATGATTGTCACGTTCTGTGGCAAGACGCAATTCTTCAGTAAGTCACCTATCAGCTTTGTTTCTCGGAGATAGCTAGCGGTCTGATGAAGGGGATCTGAGTTCTCGTCCAATGGTCCCTGCGGAGCGTACACAAATAGTCCCATGCACCACGAGTCCTGTCTTAACACGCATCAATCCGACTCTTCATAGATTGGAACAACTGATAGTTAAGAATGCAATTAGTACCATCGCCTTTGACGCATCGCTCGAAATGCGTCGTGGCAACCTAGAATCGCCACCATTTCCGCTAAGGAATCAGTGATTTCCCTTGCAGTTGTCTTCGACAAGAGAGCACAAAATCCCATGTGATCACATCCGCGCGTCGTCAATCTCTGCGAAAGCGTCTGATCATTGTGTGCGAGGACACTCTGTTTAATCGGTTCTGCTTTGATCGCTCTTACGTTTCCGTTTTCCGAATAAGACGCGTTCCAGTGAGCTGATTTGAGTTGCCGGTGCGGGAAACAGTGTTTTGTTTGGGGTGTATTGCACACCCGGCGAATCGGTGTTGTTTTCTCGTGGTTTCTGAGTCTTTTTTCGTGACCGAGCTCGATGGTTTTTTCGATGTGGTTTCACTCCCCTTTCAGAGATCGAGATAGTTCGATGACGGAAATTGTACGATATTACTTGAGGTTCGGACATCACAAAGCCAAGGTGAATGATAGCACATCTCACGAGTGTCTTTCATTTAAAAAAGCATCTATCTATTCTAGAGATTTACATCGATTCCAAGTATTCGGTGCAACTTATTGCATATTACTTCCAGTTCCAACAGATTCCTTCCAACGCTCTAGGAGCTCTAAGTTTCTTTTGTAATAAGATCGTTTTTTTCCGCTTGCCACGATTAAGAAGGTGCTACAATACACACTTCATAGTCAAAAGGGTGATGCGTTTTAATATCTAAGCTGTCTTTAGTTCTAAAACCCAAATCTGTTGGCTGATTCCAATACTCACAGATCGTGGATGCCAAGGTTCTTTAGCCCCAAGACACGTCGGGTGAACACAAACCGGAGCTTAACGTGTGAGAGTATGTCAACAAAAGGATTTTACAATATGGTCAATTCGCAGTTGTGGGTTTAGGCGTGGGTAGCAGCCGCGCTCGGTTGATTAAAAACACAGAAGGTGCTGAACTGAAGTGCGTCGTTGATTTGAACGAAGCCCTTGCCAAACAGATCGCTGAGGAGCTTGACACGGAGTGGACACCGAATCTGGATGATATCTTGGGACGGAGCGATATCGACTGCGTGATGGTGATGACGCCAAGCGGGACCCACGCAGCACTCGGCATCCGCGTAGCACAGGCGGGAAAGCATGTGATTACTACCAAGCCGATGGACGTTTCGACCGAAGCCTGCGATCGCCTCATCGCCGCCTGTGACGAGGCTGGTGTCAAGCTAGCTGTCGATTATCAGAGCCGCTATGTGGACACCAACTATCGCGTCGCGGAAGCCCTTCGGCGTGGGTGGCTCGGTAAGCCTATTCTGGGCGAGGTCCGCTTCAAGTGGTTCAGAGCCGACGAGTATTTTGAGCGGAGCGGGGGCTGGCGCGGAACATGGGAAATGGATGGTGGCGGATCTTTGGCGAATCAGGGGGCGCATCTGCTAGATCTTATCTCTTGGTTCATGGGCGATTTTGAATCGGTCTACGGCGAGATGGCAATTATGAATCACGACATTGAAACTGAGGACATCGGGCTTGCAATCGTGAACTTTAAGAGCGGTGCCAAAGGGGTCGTTGTTGGGACAACAACCTTTCCGACAAGCGTCTATTTCAGTGCTGAAGTACACGGAACTGAAGGCGGGATTTTGGTTGACGATGTGCTTGGCGGGAAGATGCGTGTCTTCGGTGAAGGGTTGGAGGAACGCCTCCAACAGATTGAAAATCCTATTCACAGCATCATCGAAGATTTTGTTCAGGCTTTTGAGGAAGGTGGAGATCTGAGAGTTGATGGCAAAGAAGGGCGTCGAACCGTTGCACTGTTGGAGAAAATCTACCAATCAGCCAGAGAGGGAAAAGTCCTTAGTGTCTGAGGACATACGAAGTCTGTTTTTTGTGTCATTCGTGAGAATGGAGATTGTGATTGGAAGAAATTAAAACACAGCAGCGGTCTAAAGGGGCAACGGGACGCGCTATCCTGATTGGTCTGGCGCTTGTCGCCTTCAATACTTATTGGGTAACAATTACGGAGATGAAATACCGGGCGGAAGCGACTGCACTGCCGATATTCATCTATCCGATCTTTCTCCTGTTCTGGCTGGTTGTGATCAACAACGGTGTATTGCGACTGTGGCCACGAATTCAATTCACGACTGGGGAACTCCTCACCATCTACTCTATGATTGTGATTTCGACTTCGATCGCGTCGTATGGGATGTTGCAGGATCTTTTCGCTATCGCTCTCCACCCCTACCAATTTGCAACCCAAGAGAATGAATGGAAGGAACTCTTTTTCCATTACATTCCGCCTTGGTTTACTGTCAGCGTACCCGATGCCGTATTAACCGGATACTACGAAGGGGACTCCTCCTTTTACGAGCCTAAGCACTTCAAAGCATGGCTGCGTCCCATGATAGTCTGGACGTTGTTCACGCTGATCTTGCTATTCATGCTCCACTGCATCAATACTCTCGTTCGCCGACAGTGGGTGCATACCGAACGGCTCGCATTTCCGATCATCCAACTACCTGTAGCGATGACGCAATCACCGAATTTTTTGCGGAGTGGTCTGTTGTGGGTCGGATTCTCTATCCCTTTCATCTTGGACCTCACGAACGGATTACATGTCCTTTTCCCGTCTGTCCCATACCTCCATCTAAAACTGCACTTTATCGGTAGAGAACTGACTGAGAAGCCGTGGGATGCGATGTCCAATACGATGATATCCTTCTATCCGTTCATGATCGGTCTCGGTTTTTTTCTGCCATTAGACCTCTCGTTTACCTGCTGGTTTTTCTTTCTGATACGCCAGTTTAGCCGCGTATTAAGTAGCTATCTTGGGTTGGACACGCTCCCTGGCTTTCCCTACTTCTATGAACAATCCGCCGGGGCATGGATCTGCATGTGCTTCATTGCTATTTGGGTGACGCGCAGGCATTTGGTTTTTGCGTTTCGGACAGCATTTTCTGAAAAATCAGCCGCCGATGCCGATGAGCCGATGCGCTATCGAACAGCGTTATTTGGGCTAGTTGGCGGATTTTTGTTCATGTTTATTTTCTCTTATCAAGCGGGTATGTCGGTGCTAGCCATTCCAGTTTTCTTTGGGCTTTATTTTGCTATCGCTATTGCTGTTACCCGCTTACGAGCGGAATTCGGTGCGCCCCACGGCATTTTCAACCATCCTGCGGACATGATGGTGACTGCTTTCGGGACGCTGACTTGGGGTGGCGGTAGTTTAACCGTGATGAGTTTCTATCAGTGGTTCAATCGGAGTTACCGCTCGCACGCGATGCCAAATCAGTTTGAGCCGCTCAAAATGGCTGAGGTTGCTCGCATCAACGGTCGTAGATTAATAATTGCGATGATGGTTGGGGCGGCTGTGGCACTCATCGTTGGAATGTGGACAAACCTAGATATGATGTACCGAGACGGTGCGTCGGCGCGGGTGTCATTCTTCAAGATTTGGGTCGCCAATACTGCTTGGACCCGATTAGAAAGTTGGCTATTTCACCCAATGCCAACGGACGCACCGCGTACCATGTTCATGGGCGTTGGTATGGCGATCGTCGTAGTTCTTCATGTTTTACGAACCCGTTTCTTTTGGTGGCCCCTTCATCCTGCCGGTTACCCACTTGCCGTTAGCTTTGCTATTGATTACTTTTGGTTTACTTTTCTCATCAGTTGGACGGTGAAAGCCATTATTTTGCGGGTTGGTCAGGTCAGAGGATATCAACGCTCCATCCCGTTCTTTTTCGGTCTGATTTTGGGAGATTTTATCACCGGTGGGCTCTGGATGATCTACGGCGTCCTGACGCAGCAGCAGACGTATATGATCTATTTGAATGGAGGGACGTGGTATTGAAATATAGATTACAAAAATTTCAACAAAGGGAGACAGGATTGTGGAATATGTGAATTTTGGAACCGCCGGTGTCCAAGTGAGCCGGCTGGCTTTCGGCTTGGGTTTCAGGGGACAGCCTGATGAGGCAGAAGCCCAGAGGGTAATTGAACACGCTTTTGAGCTTGGAATCAACCTTATTGATTGTGCCAATTGGTACGGACCAATGGATGATCGAGCCAATCAGGGGCGTTCAGAGGTAATCTTAGGCAGGGCACTGAAGGGAAAGCGGGATAACGTTGTAATTACCACAAAGGTCGCTGCGCCCACCGGATCAGGTCCAAACGATGAAGGCTTATCGAGATATCACATTATGCGCGAAGTGGAGCGGTCGCTCAAGCGGTTGGACACAGACCATGTTGATGTCTATCTGGTCCATCGCTTCGATGAATTAACGCCACTTGAGGAGACGATACGAGCGTTGGACGATATCGTTCGCGCGGGTAAGGCGCTTTACGTCGGGTGTTGCAACCATGCGGCGTGGCAAGTTTGCAAATCGCTCTGGATTGCCGACAAGCAGAATGTTACGCCGTACATGTGCGTCCAAAATCTATACAACCTGCTGAACCGTCAGATGGAAGGCGAAATGTTTGGTTTGGTAAAGGATATGGGATTGGGGGCGATGGCGTTTAGTCCGCTAGCGGTCGGTCTTTTCAGTGGAGTATATTCACCAGACCGTCCACCGCCACCGGGGACTCTTTTTGCGACGCGTGAAGACGATTTTGCCCACATGATGGAAGAAAATTCCGCGCGGGTTATAACAACCGTTAGGCAGCTCGCTGATGAATTGGGAAAAACACCTGCACAATTGGCTCTGGCTTGGGTGCTGTCACATCCTGAAATCACGGTTGCCATCAGTGGTGCCGACACAATCGAACACCTGAACGATAATATTGGGGCTGTCGGCTGGACGCTTGATGATTCCGTCCGAGAAAAATTGGATGCTGTTTCCGAATCGTTCGTCGGACGGCCCCAAGGAAGTTTCTAGAGTATCTCAAGTTGAAGGAAAGTGGTTTCAAAACAACTCGAGATACGCTAGACATTTTTCCCCATCTGTGGGCTAAAATCCACGCTTCATCTTGCCCCAGGTGACGGCGAGCTTGCCAGCCGGGTCAACCGATAGTGAGTTTCTGACATTTTTGTTAATTTCGTCTGTGCTCAATGCCCGGTCATAAACTCGGTAGATAGCGATGGAACAGTACAGGTTCGCTGCTGTTCGACATGAGCGGAAGTAAATATGCCGTGCTGTAGCATGTCGTGCGCTGGATCCCACTCCACTTCGGTCGGATTGTTGGAAACCTCGACACCATCTCGGTAGATTGTTATGCTCTCTCCACTTGCAAAGACCAGATGCACCCAGTGCCATTCGTTTTGCCCAATGTTCAGCTTATTTTTCGCTTTGCTAAGTCCTGACGATGTTGTATAACATTTTGGGCGAGACTTATGTTTTGGAATATCCCACTGCCGGTGGCATCTAGCCATACCCTAACAATCTGATCTCTCGGCTGCTCCGACGGCCGCACCGTCTTTAATGGGACCCCATGGCTGGGTCTGAATGCCAAAAACTTGATGCTCTTCCATGAAAAGAGGACCATTTATTCGCATAAGGAGCCCGATGGTAAAATCTTGAAGATGGATTATAGGCGCGTCTTTGTCATCCTCTTCGTTGGCAAAAACTGTGTTGGACTGAGTTGCGGTGTACCATGCGGCATTGTCCGACTTGATGCCAATCGCGGGAATCTCAATGGCGCCCTGTTCAAGGACCGGCTTACCCCTCCCCTTTTCTAATTGTCCGCCAGCCGTGCCGGCGTTCCGCCACGCGTTATCGCCCTTGTCTTGGCGTGTTTCTACAGGGTTAAAGTAGAGCACGGGATTCCCCACCGGACTCACGGCAAACGCCATGGACGAAATGAGGGCAGCGATCAGTGCGACGCCAAGAATAAGAATAGTTCTGTTAAACGTTTGCATCTCAAGCGTCTCCTAGTCGATTCTGTGGGAGTCTTATATCCCCTGTTAATAGGTTAATCACTTAATTAAGTGAGGGGTGCTCATAAGTAGAATTAAGTCAGGATAACGGTTATAATCTAATCTAACTTCCCAGAAAGAGAGGATTATAACATGGGTTATCCTGACCGAGCGTATTATATCACATTCTTGTTTGAGCGTCTTGAAGATTTCACCGCCTCTGTCGATGCAGCGCTGCCTAAGACTTACGGACGACCTAAGTCATATGCAGACGAGAGCCTGATTGTCCTATTGGCTATATTGACGCTCAAGGGCATCTATTCATTCAAGGCACAACATAGATGGCTCAAAACCCACCCACAGTGGCTGTGTCATTTCAAACTGGAAAAAGTTCCGTCTCGAGCAACGTTATCGCGACGGTACAAACAATTGGCTGACTTGTTAGAGGCGTTCATCGTATATCTTGGTGATGTGGGTATGCCTTTGATTGGCAGTTCATCTACAGAGGTGGTTTATCAAGACAAAAGCCTGTTTAAGGCAAAAGGCGCAGTCTGGCATCAGAAAGACAGAAATGCCAATCACATTCCCCAAGCGGGTCTACACGCGCTTGACACAGACGCAAGTTGGTCAAAGAGCCATTACCATGGCTGGGTTTACGGGTATGGACTTCATCTAACTGTTTCTCCAGAAGGCGTACCCCGCATGGGTCTGGTTGACACCGCTTGTGTGAGCGAAAAAGCAGGACTCGACCGACAAACCGACAAACTGCTTGAAAGAAATATCGGGTATATCGTGGCTGATGCCGGCTACACCGACTTGAACCGAACTGAGCAATTGGCAAAAGAGGGTCTGTTGCTACTGACACCGGTGATAGGTGCCAAAAGTGATAGAGCCGTGCATTATGTTGAATCTGTGAATCAATCCGCGCAGTTGCGACACTATCAACACAACCGCAAGGTCGCTATTGAACCTATCTTTGCGCTACTGAGTCAACTGTTATCGACACACACCAATCACAAGCAACTACCGGTGAGTCGAAAAGAGAATGTCTCTACCTTTTTGATGCTCGGAGTGGTCTTGCTTCAAATGGCTATGTTGGTCAATTCTATTTGGGGCAACCCACTGAGAAATGTTACACATCTGATGACGCTAGTTCGATAATGGGATTTATGAGCACCCCTCATTACCAAATCACATTTTGTTGTATAAAGAAGCACAAAAGGGGACAAAATTACCCTACCGTGTCAACCCAGCTAAACAGTTGGGCCTGATGTTGCTTATGGGCTGTGTGACATTTGTAAAACCTTTCGGGTAATCGTAGGGGCGAAGTTACCCTCGCCCATTGACCAACGCGGTTGGAACCACCCCCAAACCATACTACAGTTGAGTCGATTGTAGGTCTATATTCATACTCGACACCACAAACGTCGATTTTGGAAAATCGACCTACAGCATCCGACTCGTCTCTGACGTGTGAACAAAGAGTTGGGAGACCCAACCCCTACGAAGAGTCATGGGTGCTTGTGCGTCCTCCCTTGATTGTCTTTTCGATGAAATGCAAAACAGAACCTAGTTAGAGGCCGTCAGATTCTCCGTCTCCCCTCACATATAGACAATAGCGTCGAATGGGGTTGATTTTTTAAGGTTCAAACCTCATCAATCCATCCAAGCATATGAAGGGAAACACGATGGATGATGAGACCTCGATGCCCCTCCTCTGGAACCTGTTCATAACCGGTGCCTTCGCGAACCGATTGGCGGTGCGGAGTGCGTCAATAGTGCCTCAATGGTGCGATTGGGAATCGCGCAAAAGAAGTTTATCCATCAAACGATTTCTCAATGACAAAATGTCAATGCCTGATACCCCCACCAAGGTCGCAGGGGAACGCCGCCGGAGACATCGGCAACACATTTGGATGCTTGCGTATCATTACCATCGCATCTGTGTACCAGGCATTCCGAGTAGCAAGTGATAATCTTTCATGTTTGGGAATTCATTAGCGAACGGGATCATAGAGCAGACGGATTGCCCACTCCATCGGCGATGGCATGACATGGTACGCTGCATGTGGTGAGGAGTGGGGAGTCCCATTCTTCCGCACTGCGGGTGGCAACACCCGCGCCCTATCGCCGTTGGACATATTTGGTATAAAACGACGGATATAACCGGGCTATCTTGATGCCCTTGATCCCAAATCGTTGACGCTCGATCAATCTCAATCCAATGTGCGTCCGGGCTCGTTTGTCAACCGACCATAAAGCCGATGATTTTTCCGGGATTGCGCCTTAGCGTACGCGGCGATGGGGCGTCATTCGGTGTGTGCATACCTAGCGCGATGGAATTATAATGCCGAAAAGCAATTTGCAACGCGAAACCGCTCGCTGCCACTACCGCTTCCCAATGTATTTCGGGTGTTACTTCTAAGTCAATCCCGGTGTACCGGTGTAATCCCCGGGTCAAACGCTTCGACAAAGACTTTGCCTTGCCCCACTGGCGCGCGGGTAGAAAGGTGGGGTGTGTGTAACGTCAATAATCATAAGAGAACCTCTCCGACTTGAGCAACCCCTGGCTCTGGCTTTTTTCGGCGCGCGAAGCCCCATATCCAAAAGTTTTGTATGAGAGTTTATCAGATGATAACCGCCCCCGTCAACCTAGAAATATCCGAAAAAAGCCCAAAGCGTCCGCAACGAACCTTTTCGATGAACATGCAGTTGTGAGAAATGGATATAATACGTATCCGGAGACAGTTGTTCCGGGTTGGCTCCGCTAGGATTTCGGACTGTTCACGGGATTGAGGAAAAGCTGGCGCTCCGACAAAAATGATATCACGGCTACGTTACCTCCGAGCGGTACTCTCGGCTTAGTGCGCTTGTACCAATCACGTCGTATCGTCGTCAGTGGGAAAAACGTCTGGAAATACCTCAGTACCCGACACGATGACGAATTTTTATAACGCGATTTTCACCTTCCTGTCCTTGGATTCTAGTGAACATGCTGCTGCACGGATGATACGCTGGATGGCATTGAGCCAACAGGAGCTGCTGACAGTTTATACGTGCGTCAGCTTAGCGATCGTGTCAGTGGTCACGATTTCAGCAATCCATATTTATGCGCACGACTATTTTTTGGTTTGTAGTGTTATCCTACAAATAAATCATTCCCTACCCCAAGCCCGCTTTTCGTCTGCTGAGCGACGTGCAGAACGATGCAATCTCGTTTGGAAGTATTTCCCGCAAGCGACTTACACTGTAAATGACGATCAGGTACTAGGTAACGGTGTTTACACAAGGAGAATCTGACATTACACTGCGGCTCAAAGAACAACAAATCAGAGGTTGGCGTGAACAGTGGTTGTGGTGGACGCATTTTTCTGCTCGGTGAATTGCAGTTTACCGATGTTTTGATTTGCCCCTGAACACGATATACATCAGGAAACAGTGGATTGAGAAGCGGAGAAATTAACCTAGCTCCACTCTGTTCACCATAGCTATGAGATGAGCACGTGAGGCACACGGACAGACCCAACACACACAACAAGCGGGCAACTAAATCAGAAACAACACTGCTAGTGGTTGGGTTTGGGTTAGGCCGCGCATCAAACGACTTAGCTTAATCAACTTGATTAGAGGCAGGCACTCAAATAACTAAAGAGCTACCTGTTTTGTGTTTTCGTGCTTCCCAGATCCCCTTGGATACATCTCAACGTGATTTACAGAGCGTCCCTCAATGCGATGAGGGAACTCGTCCTGGCCAGGTTTAATCCCTTCGCTACTGGTCTGCTTTCGCCATTCCGCTCGATCTCCTCTTTTCGTTGTGCTGGTTCTTTTTTCTGCTTTGGAAGCAGCACAGCGAGTAACATAGCAGCCCCGCAGTATGGCAGGGATAACATGCCCGGATATCATCTCATTTGTTGTGCGCAGCAGGTCCTTGGCGGATATCTGGGAATCGCGTATCGTCTCCTCTGCTGGGGCGGCGGACAGGGGAGGAAACCGATTGGCAGGTTATAAGAGGCTATAGCGCGGCAATGTCAGATGCGGACGATCCGGGGAACCAATAAGTATAGATACGGCAGTATCGGGATCATGATTTTGGGCATCTCAGCTTTCTGGTGTTCTTTTCATATCAAGCGGGAACGACGGTTCAGTTTGGATTGGCGTTCTTCAGTGTTTACTTCGTTATTGCGTTTGCACACACACGAACACGAGCGGAGCTTGGTCCCCCAATACACGGGATTTTCCACTACGGTCCGCTCCAACTTTTCATAGCGATGGTGGGCAGCCGCAAACTCGAAAGTCAGACATTGACGGCAGCAGCCCCATTCTGGACGTTCACGAAACAGTTCAGGAATCATCCGATGCCGTATATGCTCGAAAGTTTCAAACTGGCAGATCGGTCCGGCATGGATACCCGCAAACTGGGGAAAGTCATTATGTTCTCCGTCGTCGTGGGTATTATCGTAACTTTCTGGACATTTTTGCAATTCAGCTACAAATGGGGCGGCATCAGTGAAGGGCGCGGTATAGGTGCCTATACGGTAGTTGAGCGGTGGCTTGTACGTCCACTAGAACCGGATCCGCAATCGCTTAGTGCTGTTGGCATTGGTGCTTTGGTTGTGTTTATCAACACGGTACTGCGGTTACGGTTCTTATGGTGGCCCCTGCATCCGTTAGCTTATCCGATAACGGGGTATATACCCTTTGAACACCTGTGGTTCCCGTTTCTTATCAGTTGGGTGGTAAAGGGATCAATTCTCAGGCACGGCGGGATACAGATGTATCGTCGAACATTCCCGTTCTTTCTGGGGTTGGTCTTGGGCGCGTTCACAATAGGTAGCCTCTGGGGAATCGTTGGCCTAGTAACGGGCATCCCTACCTATGCATTCAAGCGATGGTGAAAATACAGACGTCCAGCGGATCCGACGGAGAAGTGATAGAGATTAATTTTGCCAATGTCGCGTCCCCCATCAGACAACAGCATATTAAGCAAATGGATACTAGTATTAGGAGAAGGAAAAAATGTATAACGTCATCGGCTTGCCCTAGCGGGATGCGGCGGTATGGGTCGCCGGCACCTGCGTGGATATCGTGTCTTAGAGGATTTCGAGCCCGGACGAATTGAAGTGGTCGCCCTGATTGATCCAGAGTCGGAACGCGCTGAATTTGTCGCTGGGGAAGCAGAGGAGTTTTTTGGTAATCGACCACAGGTATATCGCTCACTTGAGGAGGCGATTGCAGGTTCAAGTCGCAAATGGAGGTACTGGACATCGTCGCTGCGGCATCCGCACACCACTCGATTGCCAGAGTCGCAGCAGAAAATGGTTTGCACGTCCTGTGCGAGAAACCGATGGCACCGACCGTGGCAGCCTGCCGTTCAATGCAAGCTAATGCCCAACAATACGGCACCGTGCTCTCCATAGCGGAGAACTACCGGCGCGACCCGATAAGCCGTCTAGCGAAGGCGTTACTTGCAGCGGGTGCCATTGGCGATATCCGTACGGTCCTAGACTTCTCTGCCGGTGGCGGACGCATCGCATCTGCTGGCGGCTGGCAATATCTCCGTAAACAGGGCGGATCGATTCTGGAGTCCGGTGTCCACAACGCTGACATGCAGATATACTTGGCTGGTCCCGTCGAGCAGGTGACGGGCAAGGTACGCCTTCAGGAGCGCGAGCGAATCTTCAAAGGGGCACGCGTAAAGGGGTTTCACGAGCACTACGCTCACACCTATCCCGATGTTCAGGCAGCAGATGCCCCCGACCTTATGATGGCAACGCTTGAATTTGAAAGCGATGCGTTGGGGCAGTGGTTATATGACCAAGCAGCGCATGGACCCAGATTTCGTCGTTTCACGATCTTCGGCAGCGACGGTCAGATAGATCTGCCGTCGGTGCGTACCGGTCAGCCGTTATGCCTCTTTCGGGACGACCACGATGGTGCGCTTGATGACGATGATGTGCTGGCACTCGTCCCTGACTTCTCGCTCAATGGCCGCACGGCTCGATTCTTTGGCAGCGAACGACTCGCACGTTACGATCAGTCCGGATCGGGCGTGGGCGGTGGTGGCGACTTAAACATCCTTGCCATGGAGCTTGCGGAGCTTTTGGACGCTATTGACAATGGAACGTCAGTCGAGGTTGGGGCAGAAGAGGGGTTGACCGCTGTCGCTCTTGTGATGGCATGCCATGAATCCTCTGAGGCGGGTCGAACTGTCCGCATGGATGAGGTGGTGGGTGGAAGACTCAACACTTATCAGGACGTTGCGAACCGAGAGTTGGGGATTGAGAGCTGAAAGCGTTGATAGAATCAGAAAGCTGCTTGACATATAGGTTCACAGTTTTCGGTAATCCCGGAAGCGGTGGATCGCGTCTTAGAGATACTTTTTAAACTAACCAAGCGTCTGGCTAAAATCTAATACCTCAGTTCTGAGGGAAGCCTGACGCCTACACTCAAATGGGGGTACTCACATGAATTCATCTAATGAACAGATTATCTTTGAAGACAACTTCGACGGTCAACTCGATGAAGGCTGGTCGTGGCTGCGGGAAGATTCGGACGATTGGCGTTTCCGGGACGGCGGACTGGAGATTCGTGTCCAACCCGGCGTGGCGGATACGGTCAGGAATGCGCTGTTGAGAACCGCACCAGACCGTAATGATGGCACTTATGCCATCGAAGTAACTATCACCAACCATACCCTTCCCATCCAACAGTACGAGCAGGCAGGGATTACGTGGTATAACAACGGCAAGCCGGTCTTTAAGGAGGTTAAGGAACTTATTGACGGTGATCTCTACATCATCCCCGGTAGAGCAGCGATGGCAGCGAAGACTGTCCGGCTGCGCCTATTGGTTACCGCTGATTCGTGGGAAGCGCAGTATTGCCCCTCAGGCGACACAGAATTCCAAACGGCGGCGACGGGAGAACTGCCTCCACCGGGCGAGGATCAAGTGAGCATCCAGTGCTACAACGGTCCGCCGGAGGCAGAACATTGGATTCGCTTCGAGAATTTTTGTATTAAACTGCTAAATTCCGATTAGTTGGGATAATTTCCGTGGCGGCAATGCAGGTTATACTTCTGTAACCTCGTTGGCGTTAAAACGCTTTTTCGGTTGAAGCCGCTGATGGTTGTGATATAATTTGTTGGAACCTATGGAAAGATGATGACATGCAATCTGGTTTTTTACATTAAGAAGGAGGGAATCGAAAATGGTAAAAATCGCTTTAGCCCTTGGACCGGACCCGACCCCCGTTTGGACATTAGCCAAGCAAGCGGGTGTTGAGCATGCAGTTGGCAGCATGAGCTTGAATCCGATACCGAATGCCAGCGCCGAGCAGCAGCCTTGGAGTTACGTGTCACTGGCGCGGGTGAAGGCTGCATACGAAGATGGCGGATTTGACCTACAGGTGATTGAGAGCCGTCCCCCGATGGAGCAAATTAAACTCGGTTTGCCGGGACGCGATGAAGAAATTGATGTCATTTGTGAATTTATCCGCAACATGGGGGCATTGGGGATTCCGGTGTGGTGTCCTGCGTGGATGCCGATTCTTTTTGTCCTCCGAACATCTGTCACAATTCCTTCACGTGGTGGGTCTCAGGTCAGCGGCTATGACCATGATTATATGAAGAATGCACCTCTGACCGAGCATGGGATTGTCACCGAGGAGCAGCAATGGGCGAATCTGAAGTATTTTCTGGAGCGTGTGGTCCCGGTTGCAGAGAAAGCCGACGTCAAATTGGCGATGCATCCGGATGATCCGCCGTTGTCACCCATCCGAGGGGTCGCCCGAATCATGAGCAGTGTGGAGAATTATCAGAAACTGATAGATCTGGTGCCGAGCCCTGTTAACGGGATTGGCCTCTGTCAGGGCAACTTCTCCCTGATGACCGATAACCTGCCTGATGTGATTCGACATTTCGGACAACAAGAGAAGATTTTCTTCGTTCATTTCCGAGATGTGCAGGGAACACCTGAGAAGTTCGTCGAAGTATTCCATGACGATGGACAGGCTGATATGGCGGAGTGCGTACGCGCCTATCGTGATGTTGGCTATGCGGGGTCGCACGTCCAGACCATTTCCCGAAAATGGGCGATGCTAGCATCCCAGATGAACATAGTATGGAGCGGCTCTTTGCCATCGGTTATATGAAAGGGTTGATCGAAGCGGTCTATACTGAGTAGGATTGGCAGTGCCTAATATTATGTGTCGCATGGCGCGTCTCAGTTGGCGAGGTCAACATTTTGTAATACCAGTTCCGGTCAATAACGAAGCCTAAACGCCTGTCATTCAAAGGCAAGTCGTTGGATTTGGAAATGGTATAAGGATGGTAAACAGACGAAACAAGTAAAGGAGACATGTATGGACACTGCATGTTTGGATTACTGTCTGACTGAAGATGAACGCCTTGATTTTGAGCGTAACGGTTTCCTAATCATCCCTGATGCCCTAACACCACAGATGACATCTGACATCGAGGCACTCGTAGACCGGATCGATGCTCAACACCGGTCGGAAACGGAGATAGATGCTCACGAGTGGCTACACAAGTTGGACTTTGTGGGGCAGGATGAAGTCTTCCTAGATTTGCTCGATTGGCACAAGACATTCCCCAAAGTGTGGGGGATACTTGGGTGGAACATCCAGCTCTATCTCACCCACATGGATGTCACACCTCCGCCGCCACCCGATGCAGAGCAGGAGAAGAAACGACTGGGGTGGCATCAGGATAGTGGACGTTTGAACGCCGAGTTGGAAACCGATCCCCGACCACGAGTTTCGATCAAGATTGGCTACTTCCTTACCGATACGACTGAAACAGGCCGTGGGAAATTTCTACGTCATTCCGGGAAGTCACCTCCAGAACAAACTAGAGTTTCCGCCCGATGACGTTTCAGACCCGGAAGGGGCAATCGTTTGTGTGCTACCCGGCACAGCTGTCATTTTCGATCGGCGTATCTGGCATTCTCGAAGCCCGAATGAATCGGATATTACGCGCAAGGTACTGTTTTATGGCTATAGCTACCGATGGCTACGCCCAAGGGACGACATGACTGTTGGGAGCTTTAGACCGCTGTGATCCAATTCACGGCAACTATTGGGATTTAGTACCAGTTGGCACGGTTATACCTCCCCGACCGACGAAGATGTCCCGCTGAGGTTGTGGCTGGCAGAACACATAGGAGAGGAGGCAGTCACATCTTGACCCTTATCTGGTGTCAATAGTGTAAGTTCTTGAAGGTACGCAAATATGGGGCAAATCAGATCTCATCCACCTGTTAAACTGATTGTTGGATTATTACAGCGGTCCCCGATTTACTCTCGCTGTACACCAACGATTGTCAGAGCAGTTTGGACGGGTTGATTTTGTCAGCGATTTGTTACCTTTTGATTATACCAATTACTATGAAACGGAGATGGGAAAGGATTTGAAACGTCAGTTCGTGAGTTTTGAGCAACTTATCCCCGCCGAGGAACTTGCGTTCGCCAAATGCTTTTCTAATACGGTCGAATGTGAGTTTGCAAAGGGGGATACAGCCCCCCGTCCGGTCAATCTCGATCCGGGCTATATTTCGGCGGCAAAGTTGGTCCTCGCTTCGACGAAAGACCATGCGCACCGCATCTATCTCCAAGATGGCATTTATGCTGAGATTACGCTCAAATTTTACCATAAGACTTTTCAGCCTTGGGAATGGACTTACCCCGATTACCGTACACCCACTTATATTGACATCTTCAACCATATCCGCCGTATCTACATGGAGCAATTGAAAGGAATAGGGTTAAACCCTCACCCGTTTTAGATGATGAAATCGAAAATCTGGTCAACCTCTATTTGGTCATTTGTATATGTTATTCTAGTTGCTTGTTACGCACCTCAAGCTTTTTCTTGGGGAAGCTATGCGCACGAGCAAATCACTGATGCCGCCTGTGATTCCCTGCCTTCAGAAATTTCCCCGTTCTTCGTTAAACACCGCCGAGAGCTTGCCTATCACTCGAACGATCCGGATCGATGGAGAAGGGTGCTGCTGTTTCGGATTGGATTGAAGTACGAAGAAGATCTGAACAGTGGACAGGTTACCGAGGACTTACGCCAAGTGTTTGAGACGCGCGGAGTCGACTTCCCGCAAAACGCCCCGGTCTCGCTTCGCGGGAAAAATGGCAGATGGTTCATAACGATAGATGAACAGGAGTACCCAATTCGGAAGGAGGCGGATAAGTTATATCTATTGGGGGATAAAACGAACATTTTTGAAAATCGAAGTGCGGAGTCGGTGCTGCTTGGGTCTGAAGAGGGCACCCGTTTTGCCCTTGATACAAAGGAAAAATTGCTGTCCTTGACCAGTCTCAATGTCTACAAATCGGGTGATTCCGCCGAAGGTCCTCGGCATTTTCTCGATATTGATATCTACGGTCCCTATCCGTTTGTAGAACTTCCCCATAACTATGATGATGCCGTCGCGAAATTTGGTGTGGAAACTGTTACAAAACGCGGCTTGGCGACATGGCGTATCGCTGACTACACACGACTACTATCTGAGGCAATGAAATCGGGAGATACCCAAAAAATTGTGCAGACCGCCGGTGCACTCGCCCACTACGTTGAGGATATCCACATGCCGCTGCATGTTGTCAAAAACTACAACGGGCAATTGACCAACCAACATGGCGTCCATCAACGCTTTGAGGACGATATGGTGGAGGCCTATGCAGAGCAAATCCACCTCTCACCGAAGATGGGGGCAGAAATTGAAGACCCGCTGGAAGCTGCTTTTGACATTGTCCTCGACAGCTATGTATACGCCGACAACCTCCTCCATGCTGACCGCAGGGCAAAGTTAGGCGAAGACACGTACGGTACACCGTATCTGGAAAAGTTCTTCCGATTTAGCGGTTGGATAGCGGTGCAGCGAATGAGTGATGCGGCATCAGCAACCGCAAGCTACTGGTATACTGCGTGGCTTCGCGCCGGAAAGCCTGAGTTGAAGTGAAGTATAATAGTGAGGAAGCAAAGTAATGAAAAAACAAAACATGAGATTATGGTTCTGTTTGTGCTTATGTTTAATGTCCGGCTGGATTCCTGCCAACTCCGATCAAGGTGCTGGCGTTCCTGAAGGCAGAGCAAGGGCACGGGATCTCGGTATCAAAATCGGTATTTATGAACCCGGCAAACACAATGCGATCACGGATGTCGCAGGGGTGAAGGTGGGGCATGTCACGTTGAAAAGTGGTGATAATGTTCGGACAGGTGTTACTGCGGTTATTCCACGTGACGATATTTGGACAAATAAACTGTTTGGTGCGGGTTATGCAATCAACGGTAACGGCGAGGCAACGGGGCTAGCATGGGCTAATGAAGCGGGGTGGATCGAGTCCCCAATTATGCTGACGAATACACTCAGCATTGGACCCGTTCACGATGGTGTTGTGCGATACATGATCAAACGCTATCCGGATAATCACATCATTCTGCCAATCGTTGCAGAGTGCTATGACGGTGGACTGAATGACATCAGCGGGCTGCATGTCACCGCAGAACACGCAATTCAAGCGATAGAAAATGCCGTAGATGGTCCTGTCGTAGAAGGATGTGTCGGCGCAGGCACAGGAATGCGGTGCTACAGTTTTAAGGCAGGTATCGGTACATCCTCACGGGTGTTGCCCGCAGATCGAGGGGAGATACACGGTCGGAGTGTTAGTCAATTCCAACGGCGGGCGGCGCCATCAACTACAGATTAATGGTGTTCCTGTCGGCAGAGAAATTACAGAACTCACACCGAAGCGGGGTCGAGATGGTTCGTTCATCATCGTTGTCGCAACGGATGCTCCCTTGGTACACCGTCAACTGATGCAACTTGCCAAGCGGGTGACACATGGGCTTGCCCGCACCGGGACACCAAGTACCGTTAGCAGCGGCGAATTTGTAATTGCTTTTTCAACCGCTAACACGATTCCGCGTCGGACGGACGATGGGACATTTCCTATCACGATGCTTGCTAATCGTCGGATGGATGCGCTGTATCAAGCTGTTATTGAAGCGACAGAGGAGGCAATCCTGAACTCCATGACCACAGCAGTGACGACCATCGGCAGAAATGGGAACACGATCTATGCCCTCCCTTTGGATCGGTTGCAAGCTGTGATGAAACAATACGGACAGCTTAAGTCCGAAGGCAATTGAAGCATCAAAGTGTGTCGCCTGTTAGCTTATTTAGGTTTTGTCGCTGCTCGTTATCTGCGATGACGATCAACGCGTCGCCAGCCTCCAACCTCAACCCGCCGGAGGGATTGTAGATAAAATCTCCTTGCCGCTTATGCACTGCAACAACCATCAGGTTCGTTCGATCTGGGATGCGTGCCTCACCCAGAGTGAGCCCCACCAATGGTGTTCCCGTTTGGATGACGGATTCAGCGAAGCGTGTTGTCTCTTGGCTTCTGAGCATAATATCTAGAAAATTAACCACGATTGGACGTGTGACTGTCGAAGCCAACCGCATACCGCCGATATGGTCTGCTAAGACAACCTCATTTGCCCCCGCCTGTTTCAGCTTGGATAGCGAATTGGCTTCAACCGCTTTAGAGGCAATCTTCAACCCCGGATTCAATTGCTTTGCAGATAGGACAACGAATAGGTTATCTTGATCGCGTGACAGTGAGGTAATTAGTCCACGTGCTCGTTCAATACCCGCACGAATCAAAACCTCGTCTTCTGTTGCATCTCCGTGAACATACAGGAAATCTTTCGTTTCCAGTAGGTGATCGATCCGTTCCTGCTCAGACTCAATAGCAACGAAATCCATGTTCATTTGGAGCATTTCTTCGAGCGCGTGAACGCCCGTATCCCCTATGCCGCAGACAATATAATGGTTTGAAAGTTTATTAATTGATTTTTCCATTTTCCTCCGTCGAAATACCTCGCGGAATTGTCCTTCAATAATAAAGGCGGTTGCAACGCCAATACTATACACAAAGATGCCAAACCCACCGATCAATAGAAAAACAGTGAAAGCCCTTCCTACCTTGGACATATTATCATCGGTGTATCCGACTGTCGTCAGTGTAATGACAGTCATGAAAATTGCGTCGAATACTGTCCACTTCTGATGTGGATTTTCCGCTTCAATAATCCGATATCCGGCAACCCCGATCGAAAAAAGGATGACCAGCGAAATAATCGCGATAATGAAGCTTCGTTGATACCTCAAGAGATATTCTCCTCAATTGCAGACAGTTCCAAACAGTGAGGCAGATGAATTTTCCCCATACGCCCCAACTTCTTTAGAATTATATAGTTGATGCAAAACCGTTTATAGCCCGCTCCGATATCTAGCTTCAGTGATAACGATCCAATCAGTTTGCACTTCAACAGATTTTCGATCATCAATTCCATGATACAGCAATCAACACATTATTCGATTGACAACTCCCAAACCTGAAGGGTTGGGATTCTTATGATAGACTGAACAGTAGCAGTTGCTCTGTGCTATCTTCTTGATTCGATGATTCGTGTCCCGATTCATCGGGATCTTACAGAATCTCCACAAGCGTTTATACTCTCCGTGTGTCCCACGGCGAGGTTTTTGAGATTTATAGCAGCGTTTAGGTCCCTGTCTTGGGTGTGAGCACAAGCACTACAATGATACGTCCTATCGGACAAGGATAGGTCGCTGTCCACTACACCACACGCTGAACAGGTTTTACTCGACGGGAAAAACCGAACTGTTTGGATCTAAAGCGATTTTATGAGTTTTTAACACGGGATTGTCTTTCTGTCTTTCGATTCCTATGTCGTAGGGTGTGGGAGACACCGCCAAGCGACGGTGCGACATTCTCCCACTGAAAGACAAGACAATTATACCATTTTTTCACACAAAAACACAACAAAAGTTAACCCTTGGGACCCAAGCATAAATGCTTGGGGCTTGCCCAAATGACTGTCAACGCCAAGGAGGGACAGCGGGGTTTTCGAAACCCCTGCATCAAGCATGTTTATATCAGTTCCTGTTTTTAGTAATCCGACAAGTTAAGAACTTTTATGAATTAAACTAACAAGTAGGTAGAATCTGTTGAATCGGTCATTGGACTTTGCTCGTCTTTTGGAGTAAACTTCATCATACATCACAACGTCAATTAGTAAGGGTAGTTAATTGTGTCCCACTAGCGACTGTGTTACAAAAATGATACAGCGTAAAGTGTGAGGTGCTAATTGGTGTTGTTCGACCAATCGCGTTTTTGCCAGTTGTTTTCAAGGATGCACTTCTTTGTTTCTATCATGGTATAAAATTTGCTAAAATATCACTGTAATTTTCGGGCACCAATCAAGGAATCGCGTAGATCTATATTAGATTCTTTGGATTTTTTCAAATATCTTGACGAAAAAATTGTCAGGACTAGGCGATATTAATTAAAGGAGTGAACAAAAAATGCTACCGCGTAAGTTCCACCTCAGCCTCCTCATCCTTTCCATGTTTCTGTTTGCTGGTTTCACCAATTCAAGTCATGCGGAAGTGGAAAGTATTCAAATCCACCTTTTTGGGTTCGTCAATGGTGATGACGCCCGACAGATTCGACGTTTATTAAAACCTTGGGCTAATCCGGAAGATGTGAGTTTCTACGCGCCTGTCGATAAAAATGGGCTCAAACGCCATTTTACAACCATCGTTGAAGTCACCCCACGACGGGGCAAGAATCCGTACAACGAGGGTCGTACTTTTGACATTTATGACATTATCCGTCAACTGAGCGATCAACGCTTTCGAGGCAGTCAAACCGGGGGTCGAGCTTGGGTTACCAAATCTGAAGCGACAGTCACCGGCAATATCTACGCACACCCGGGCTTTTCACGGAGCTACATACGCAACGTTCCTTTTTGGCGACGTTGGCGTGCTGACACATCAGAAATCAATCATGCAATGGTTGTTAGTCCGGACCAGAAGGTCGTCTTTAGTGGTGATGATAAATTTGATGAATTAATACAAGAGGCAAACCAAGGCGTTAATGGGGTCGAAGTCAAAGGACAGATTGTTGGTTTTGATGGGGTCTACCCCGTTATATCCGTCCGAGATTTTCGGGTTGAGTACCTAGTTGAACCGAGTATGAAAGAGGAAGCCAACGAGGCAGAGGAGACCCCAAAACGAGAGCTCGAATATCTCAAAAAGGCTGAAGATACTGACAAATAGATATGACACCGATTACATAGTGATGAGTTACGATATATGAGGGGTTGGGAATAATACGATGAGTACAGATTCGTGCTTCCCAGCCCTTCAGTTTATTAATTGACCGTATGCGTGCAATTTAACCTTGAAAAGGTTGGATTGTTCGCTAATTTGTTAGTTTAGGAGAATGATATGCACATTTCTGAATTGGATACACCTGCTCTTACCGTAGACCTTGATGTTCTTGAACGTAATATCTATAATATGGCAGCTCTCTGCCGAGAGATTGACATTGATTTGCGCGTTCACACAAAAACTCACAAGGTCCCGGAGATTGCCGAAATGCAGGTCGCTGCTGGCTCAAAAGGGATTACCTCCCAAAAACTCGGTGAAGCAGAGGCTATGGTTGATGGCGGACTTGATGACATCCTGATTCCCTACAACATCGTTGGAAAGCCGAAACTGCAGCGGCTGACACAGTTGGTCAAACGGGCGAAGATTACCGTTGCCCTTGACTCGGAGATAACTGCCGAAGGAATCTCTGAACAGGCTGTGGCAGATGATTGTACCGTGCGCGTGGTCATTGAGCAGGACACAGGGGGACGCCGGGTCGGCGTGCAATCCCCACAAGCCACGCTTGAACTCGCCCAGAAGGTGACGAAGATGTCAGGACTTGATTTTCAGGGCATTATAACCTATGGGAGCAATATTCGCGCAAAACCCTTCATTGATGAAACGGTCAATCTCCTAAATGGTGCAGGTATTCCTATCAATATCATCGGCGGAGGTGGGACAGGTGCTGAACAGGCGTCAAAAGATATTGGCTGCACGGAAACGCGCAGCGGCTCGTATGTCTACGAAGGCATAACGCGCATTTCTGGTTCGGAGGCACTCAATCCGGACCGATGTGCCTTGCGGATGATTGTAACGGTCGTGAGCACCCCAACCGCAGATCGAATCATCGTTGACGGTGGTGCCAAGACGTTCACCAGCTATCCGCCCACGCCCTATGGCCACATCATTGGACATCCAGATGTCAAAATATATGGGATGTCTGTCGAACACGGACATCTTGATGTGAGTGAATCGCAGCATAAATTCCGCGTTGGCGACCAATTGGCTGTTATTCCACTGCATCAAGGGATGACAAGCAATCTGCACGATGAGTTGGTTGCAGTGAGAAATGAGCAGGTGGAAACCGTTTGGAAAATCGCCGGGCGCGGCAAAGTCAAATAGCTCCGGCAAACCAAACCGAATTTCAGAGATCGTAAATTGCTTTCAGATTTCCACCAAGGATGCTCGCGGCTTCCTCGTCGGTAAATCCGATATTTCGGATACCGTTGACGCCATTTACAGCATCTCCACTAGGCGAGTTAGATCCGAAAACGATGCGATCTGCACCAATCTGTCCGCCACGTGCAATGCCCTTGATGGTAATCGGTTCAGCTGCAGCGATAAGGGTTGTGCCGAGATAAATATTGGAACTCTCAACTGCGGCTTGTACAGCTAGTTGCGTCCACTCACGATAGCCCATGTGGTCCATAATGATTGTCACATCTGGGTGGCGTTTCGCAAGTGTTCCAATAAACTCCGGTGAGCATCCGCTCATCGGAGAACCGGAGTGGATGGTAGCCGGAACGCCAAGTGATTTGGCGAGTTCCATGACGGGATCAACACAGGGTGCGTCAAGACGATAACGATGTGCTGCTGCCATCAGTTTGACTGTCCGGGCACCAGCATCAACGCATCGTTTTAAGTCATCGCAAGCATCGGAACCCATTGTGGGATTAATCAAGCAGCCCGGAACGATGCGTGGTTCGCCTTTCGTTTCTTCGAGCAAATGGGCGTTGATTTCTGCTGGATCGGGTGGCAATCCGCCGGGAAATACAACACATACATCAATGCCTGCCTTATCGGCAACAGCTATCAGACCTGCCTTGCCGTAAGGTTCGTCGTTAAATCAGCGGGCATATAGGCTTCAAAATCCGCAACAAATTGTGCAGCCATAAAGTTCTCCTTATTGTCTATTCGGCAACCTGCTCTCACTGCCAAGGAGGAGTTATCTGTCTCCATCCTATCAGGGACTGAGAGGTTGAGTGTTTGGATAAATACTTAGGTTCTGTTGACATTTCATCGTAACCAGATAATCGTGGCAACGAAACTCAGAAACCCCATATACCGAACCGCTAGCTTATCAAACCGAGAGGAGATACGTCGATACTGCTTCATTTTGTTGATAAAACATTCGACTAAATGCCTCTCTTTATACAGATGCACATCATAAGTGCGGGAATCCCGACGGTTGGCACGTGGGGGTATCACCGGCACCGCACCCCTTTGGGTTATCGACTCAATCAATGCCATCGAGTCATATGATGTGTCAGCTATCACATACTCACTGTTATAGCCGTCAATTAACGCCTCAGCACAAGTGATGTCGTGCCGTGACCGCTGTCAGCATAAAATGTAAGGGATTGCCTAAGCCATCAACAGCGATATGAATCTTAGTTGAGAATCCACCCCGGCTGCGTCCAAGTGCTTGTGAGGCTTGACCCCCACTTGTTTTCAATGCACCACCAGCACATGGGTGTGCGCGAATGATAGTGCTGTCAATGATAAGCCACTCCATATCGGGGTCTTTGGCAAAGTGTTGGTGCATGCGTTGAAAGATATCTTTATCGCACCACCTTGCGAATCGTTTATAGACACTGTTCCAATTGCCGTACTGGTTAGGTAACAGTCGCCATTGACTGCCACTACGAGTTATCCAAAGCACCGCATGGATTAAAACGTTTAAGTGTGTGTGTTGGTCCGGTATAGATATCAGGACAGGTGTTAAGGAAATTTCTAACTATTTTGACCATTGCGTATCGGATAGGGTTAGTGTGGACATATTACCATTATGCCACAAATGTCACACGCCCTAGCTTGAAAAGTGAATAGAAAGAAAAGATTGATAAAGCGGAAAAACGCTTCTCATATCCAAAGTATCATCTCTGTACAAACTCAATAAGAATGCCATCGGGGTCTCTTGCGCAGACTACACCGCCAGCATCCGGAGCGCCGACCGGCTCGGACAAAAATTCGACACCCTTCTGCTTCAATTCTTCGACGGTCCCCCACACGTCCTCAACAAAAAAGGTAAGCCAGCGCACGCCAGCCGAGAAATCGTAGGAGGGTGTTGGTGGGGGCGATTCGATGCCCATCAACTTAATGAGTGTCTGCCCGGCTTGCAGACGAACTTGGCGAAATCCGCGTGGTGCCAGTCCTGCCCCTTTCGCTACGTCTTCAGGAATCTGGATATCCAGAACAATCTCCAAGCCTAAACATTCGTGGTAGAAGCGCAGCGACTCCTCGAAGTTACTACACGTAATGGCAACGTCAACGATGGGGTGGGTTAATTGTAACATAGCAATCAATCTCTCCTTTTTGGTGGCATTTTTCTTTTTTCTGAACAGTAGTGAGATTATATCACGATGACTTGATACCGTCGAGAGAAAAACATGTGATTAGTGAGAACCGAAATGCCCCCTCGCAGGAATGTCTTGTGTGAGGTCACCCGATGAATTTTAGCGATCGCGGTACATATGTTCCATCAACATTACTGCTTGACGATGCCTTTCACATGGTGTTATCATTCCTGCAATAGAAGGCTCAAGGGAGGTTTTTTTATTTATGCATCATCAATCTTATGATGGACTACAAAGCGACATCCGCGAAATGAAAACGCCGAGCATCGAAACTTGGAAAAATGAGTATAGCGACAAAGATTACACCATTGAAGTAACGACCCAGAATTTACAGCGATTTGTCCTAAAACCGGGTTGCCAGACTTTGGAACGGTTCAGATTGCCTATATCCCCGACGAGCGATGTGTCGAACTCAAATCGTTGAAAGAGTATTTTCTATTTTACCGAGATGTAGGAATATTTCACGAACATGTTGTCAATAAAATTCTGGTAGATTTTGTTGCGGCGTGCAATCCGCGGAGGGTCGAGATTGTTGGAGATTTTCACGTCCGTGGGGGAATTAAAACTGTTATCCGTGCTAACTATGAACGGGAGACCGTATGATAAAAACGAGCTAAAGCAGGTGTTTAATGAAGTTGTCCGCCCAGACCCAACTTGCCACAACTCCACAAACCGTCATGAAGCCACAATTCCCACCTTTACGCCCATCGTGGGCTTATTTCAAAACTATGTAATCCGTGCCGGAATACGATAACGTTACCTCCATGAGCTAAAAGCATCTTCATATCATACTGGCTGAACCACCTGATCACCCCTGTGATAATCTCCCCGCCTCTGAGAGTTAAGCGCACCGGAATTTTTTCTTTGCGGCAACGCACAAGCACACGATCGTCAACTTGGAATCGTTCAGATTTGTGAACAATCGAGATTAAGTTTTGCGCTTTCAAATCCGTATCTACTTCAATATCCTGCACAACTTGAGCCATTTCATCCCGCTTATACATATACTTGATGTTAAGCTTTTCAAGATGGTGGACTTCTCCATTGACTGATACGACAGCAAGGGTGTAAGTCAATCGGCGGCTGATGATGCCTTCAATATGTTCCCCGTAAAGTTCAAAAACCATCGGTGTTTTCTTCCGAATCTGCTTTTGAACGTAAGCACGTCCGTGGCTCTCGGCGCGAATCTGAGTCAGCAACTCTGGAGGTAGGTAACGATGGGTTTGTTGTTTATGATGTGAGGACTTACGGTGTCTATCACGATGTCTATACTGCCAAGGGCTCTGTGAGGAATTCTTTTGTGGCTGAGGGGTTAAATCACTCTGCCAAACTGAAGTTTTTGACCGCGCCTCCAATGGATTGCTCTCCTCTTTAGATGTTCTATTTTAATCCCAATCGTAGCCTATCCTAAAGCGATAATTAAGGATATTATAACATTTCCTAGAGCGCAATCCAACTGCAAAAAAATGGGCAATTTGGCAATGCAGCTGTGCAAATGAGCGAAAAACCTGTCCCCAAGGGCTGTAATCGAGGAATAAAAAGAGTGTCTTGCTCAATTGCATACCTGCGAAAGATTTTCCGAAAATAAAAAAGGCGTCTGGGAAAGATATCCCAAACGCCTCTGTTGAAATGGAGTTAATGAATCTAAAACATGAGCGGTGCCTTATTCGCCACCGCCACCACCGCCGGTACGACGTGGGATGTTTCGATCTTTCATATACTCCGTGATTTCGGTAATCTTAGTTTGTGCGTATCTCAACGCTTTGTTGACCTGTGTGTCGCTGGGCGGAACGGTCGCGTATTTACTCCACAACGCATCAAAGGAGTCAAGCGCGTCGTTATAATACTCATCATTTTCAACCGCTAACAGCATATACGCTTCACCAATTTGCACCAAAGAAAGGTCGGCGTATTTAGTAGTCGGATATATTTTGATGATATCTTGGAACCCAGCGATTGCCTGCTCAACAGCTTCCCTCTGTTCACCTTCAGATGCCACTCTCGCCCGATCGAAATTGCTGGTTGCCTGAATATATACATCTGCCGAGAGAGCTCTTTTCGTATCATTCAGGAAAAGGTCAGCACTCTCCTTCGACTCCGCATTGATACCGGGAACCGCCAATGCCTTCTCATACTGTTCGATAGCCATCGTATAGAGGCGGATACGGTCTTCTTCTGTCGCACTGTCGAGAACCCCTTGGTTATAGTATGTGTTGCCGATGTTGAGAAACGCTTCGGCTGCAAAGGGACTGGTCGAATAGTTCTTTGCGAGAATCTCGTTTGTCTCAAAGACTTTGTCCAACCACTTCTCTTTCTCTGCCTCGTCCTCGGTATTTTTTTCCAGCAACGCATAGCAGGTCGAAATCGCGGCAAGAGATTCCGCTGCCTGTGCATGTTGCGGATTGATGCGGCGAACCTTCTTGTACTCTTCAATAGCTTTCAGGTGCTGTTGACCTGCAAAGTACGCCTCACCTGCCTGATACTGCCAGAACGGAGCTTCTTTCGCATTAGGGAATCGTTTGGTGAGATCCATGAACACGCTCGCTGACTGCTCAAAGAAGCTAACAGTCTTTTCAGAAAACCTTTCGTCGAAACCAAGCTGCATTCGACCCAGTTCATAGTATGTGGGTGCGAGATAGCCCAATACGGTCTGGACGTTTTCCGACACATCCGCCTGTGATGAGACGGAGAAAATGCCCTTGTCCGCATATTCAACGAACTGCTTCAGCACCGGAATCGCGTTATTGAGATCATCGGGAAGTTTGATCCCTGTACCGAGCGAGTAGTAAATCTGCCCGGCTGTAAAGAGCGCGTTCTGAACAAATGGACTAATGGTGTCATTGACCTTATCGGCTGGTGCTATATTAGCCGCTTCAACATAGGAGGCTGCGGCTCGCCGACTCGCATCAATATACGGCTTTAAGTCGGTACCAGGCTTATCCGAGAAGAGTTTCCGCGCTTCGCCGAAGTACAGAAGACCGAGATTATATTGTGCGGAAACTGTCTGTGGAACCGTTTGCGCCGCCTCGCGTGCAGCGACTGCTTGAGTGATTGCATCGTTCACACGTCCCAATTTTAGGTAGAGGTCGGACCGACGAATGCCACCGTCTGCCGCCATGGATTGGATGCTGGTATTAGATTCAGCACCGAATTGACTAATCAAGGTTTCGTATGCTTTCAGTGCATTCTCAGGGTCATTCAGTCTTTCTTGGTAAATCAGACCCATCCGATAGTATGCCTGTGCCTTGATGAGCGAATCTTTAGAAAGCTGAATCGAATTTTGATAATTGAGGAGCGAATCATCATACTGGTTGAGATGTTCGTCTTGGGCGTATGCTATGGAGAAGTAGGAGCGTCCCTTCTGATCGTCATCGTCTGTATACTGAATCACATACTTATATTCCCGCACGGCTGCCGCATGGTCGCCGACAGCGGTATTCAAATCTGCAAGACGGGTATGTGCTTGACGAATTAGATCTTGCCGGGGTTTGTCCTCCGTTTGTCCCTCATACGAGGTGGTCTGAAGAAACGCCGAAATTGCTCCCTTGCTATCATTCATTGCATGCTTTGCTAGCCCTATTGTGTAATAGGCACTGATTGCCGCCTCCACATCGGGGTTTCTTTCAGTAACTTGTGTTGCGGTATTTACAGCATTCTGGAATGCAAGCTGTTGGGCTCCTTCATCTGTGCTGTTTTGACCGATCTGATAATAGCAAACAGATGCCTGATATAGCGCATTCGACACGAGCTCGCTATTGGGGAACATCTGAAGAAATACTTGGTATTCAGCGAGCGCTTTTTCATGCTCACCGTCACCATAATACAGGTGCCCGATTTTCAACTGTGCTCGTGAACGGGAATTTTCTGGAGCACCGGTATTCTGAGCAATTCGCCTCAGACTCGCAATGAGTTCAGCCTTCTCTTCTTCAGAATTGATACCCTGTTTTTCAATGGCGGTTGCTTTGACCAAGTCTATATGACCCAACGTCTTTTGGACTACGGTGTTATCGCTACTACCATGCTGCGCGTAAGCAGTATCGGCAACTTCTAGCACTTTTGGCCATACACTTGTATTTCCACCCAATGCCATGTCACGATAAGCGAGTGCTAAACCGTAATATGACTCAACTGCATTCGGGCTATCCGGATAATCTCCAATCGATTTCTCGAAGGCAGCAACGGATTTGTCCAAGAGGGCTGCGTCATCGGATGCCGCTTTCGCCGCTTTATAGTAACAAAGTCCGACAAGATACTGTGCATCGTCGGCGTATTCACCAGTTGGGTTACCTGTAACGACATTTTCATACTCAACCGCTGCTTCAGCATATCGCTCCTCAGAGCGCAGCAGGTCTGCCAACTTAATTTCTGCGAGCGAGCGGTTGTCCGTATCCAAAGTATCCATTATCGACTGATAATGCGCCACGGCTTCGCTGTTCTTGCCTTCTTTGACAAGGCTCTGTGCAACTAGCAGCTGTGCCCGTTGATAATTATTGCTTTCCGGGAGAATCTCTGTGTAGAGCTCGCGAGCTTTTACCCCACGCATTCAGTTTTTCGTGGGAAAGGGCTTGATTCATAACACATGCCTCGACCTGCATTGGGCGCTGCGGGAAATCGTCATAGCGCCCCTGCTCGATACCGGCGAGGAAGGTGCCACTTTCTCCCCCCTTAATCTCTGGTCCCTTGAACTTTTCTACCGCTTGCTCATAAGCATTTACAGCATTTTGGAGTAGTACTTCGTCAAAGACTGCGTCTGGATCGCCTTCACGATAACCCGCCGGTTTGGCAGCTTCGTAGTATGAGCGCGCTTCCTGAAATTTTCCAATCAATTTAATTAAGTGAAACTTCGGAAAGTCACGATACTCCCAAAGTTTAGCGTATTCCGCGGCTGCATCTTCATACTGCTTGAAATCATTAAATTTTAGATCTGCAAACTTCAACTGAACTTCAGCAGCAAGAAGGTCAAGCTCATTATCCATGCGGTTTTTATCAATAAATTCCCGCGCAACAGCCTCAAGCTCATCCTTTCGCTCGAGCGCGTTCAACGCCCAGATAGCACCATAGAGTGCATGAGATGCGACCGGATCCGCCGGGAAGTCATCAACAGCTTTTTGATACCAGATAAGCGCTGTTTCATAAGACGCATTTGCCGCATCTGTTTGATCGTCATCTTTCAGGTCAGAAGCTAGCTTATAGTTTGATTCTCCCATCTGGTAGGTGAGATAAGGGGTAAAATCGGTCTCCTCGGGATGCTCGTCGAGAACACGTTGGTATGCGACAGCGGCTTCGGCCCAAGCTGACGACTTGAAGTAGCTATCGGAAATACCCAACTTCGCCTCACTAATGAAATCACATTCCGGATACTCTTCAAGCAGTGTATTGTACGATTCCACTGCGTTGGGGTAATCTTGCTGCTCGTAGTAGGTACGACCAATGGTTACCTGAATTTCTGCTTGCAGGTCTCGATCGTCCGTATTCTGCAAAGCAAGCTCATAGTTGACTCGCGCATTGTCATAGTCTTTCTGTTTTGAGTAAATTGCGCCGATGTCAAAATAGGCAGCGGTTACATAACCACTTGTTGGGTATTCCGTGATAAATTGGGTGTATCTACCAATTGCCTCTTCATCACGGGCGAGTTGATTCAAACAGAAAGCGGCTTTGTAACTCGCCTCCGCTTGCAGGTCTACGAAGGTTTTAAATTCTTCGGTGGCAAGCTTATCAAATTCTGGGTACGCCTGCTCGTAATTCTTTTCGTTGAGGAAAGACTGTGCAATTAGGTGTTGTGCATCATCCTTGAACTCTGAGTTTGGGAATCCGTCTAGTACTTCTTTATACGCTCGGCGCGCTGAGTCATACTTTTGCAGTTTATAATTGAGCTGCCCAATTGCATACCAAGCATTTTCGACAAACAGGCTATTGGGGAAGTTTTCAATCAAGGTGTGAAACTTCGGTTCAGCGAGTTCAAATTTCTCTTGTTTGTAGAGGACGTGTCCCCATAGGTAGGTTAACCCTTCCTGATGTTTGGGCACAGTGGCATTCGGTGCAACTTTTTCAATCTGCTCAATTGCATTGTCATAGTGGGTAATATCACCACTCTGCTCCGCCCATTTAGAATAGTTAACGGCAATTTTGTAATTTGCAAGGGTTTGGAAGTCCTTATCAATAACCTCGGTCTTGACCCCCCATTTGACAGATTCTTCAAGGGCTTGATTGTACTTTTCAGTTGACCCTTCGTAATCATTTTGACTGTAGAGTTGTTCTGCTTCGTTATAGAGTCGTTCGACCTTTTTAGAACTGCCTGCCGGCCAAAACAGAACGACAGCTAAAGCTACTCCGGCGAGGACGCCTAAAAGTTTCGGATTCATTAGATCTCCTTTCGGATCATAGTTAAAGGGGTTTGTTAAATTGACATACTCCCCTCACCCCAGTGGGGTTTCAAGTTAGGGAACGCAGATCTGCGCTCTGCACAAGAAATCGTAGCATATTTTCGTAAACAACACAAGTTTTTTGTTGAAATTTAGATGGAAGTTAGTTTTCTATCTAGTTAAAGTTTGACAGAATCATAAACTTCCGTAATTGAGAAACTAGGTAACGGTACATTCATCAACATCTCAACAACGCCATTCAGCGAGCGATTGTCACTCCAACCAATTTCCGCTGAAGTAGGAATAGCCACAACGCCCAAGGGCTGCGAAAAATCTTCTTTCGCGGCAATCGGTTCAGGGCTTGATAACTGGGCAACCGTCATTAGGTCGGGGGAAGCATCATCGATCGCCATTGCTTTGAACGTATCACTATCGTTAATGAAATTACTGTCACTAACGGGATCTGGTTGGTAGCCCTCCCATCTTGACAACTCTGCAAGTGATTCAATAACCTCAATCTCTTTATCTATATCTTGTCTGCTCTGAACAACGTTTTCAGGAAGTGTCTGCGCCGTTGCAGCAAGCCGTTCCCGGTTACTGATTACCTCTCGATTTCCACCCTCCTTCGGGGGAGCGGTTGGCTGGACTTTCACAACCTGCGACAAGTTTACAGTGTCAGAACGATCTTGTTCTTGGGTTTGGAAGGATTGATATGCAGACAAACTGATAAGAACGATGAGCAGCATCCACGCATAAGCAGGAGACTGTTTAACCCAACCTATAGGAAAACTAATTAGCTTGCTGAAAGAACTGATAGATTGATGCAGAAACTCTTGAAATCCCCAAGCAATTGCTTGGGAAAACGCGGTAACACCCCACCATATAGGACGAGGTTGCTTTTCAATTAGCCGCTGCAACTGCTCCCCAAATCGATCGTAATAACCCTCTGGGGGCTGTGTAGGGACATGAACACGAAGCAGCGCCTCTGTCCGTCGCAAAGATTTCAATTCGAGTTGGCAATCCCGACAAAATCGCAGATGTTGAGCCACGATGATGGTTTGCCGAGCTGAAAGTGTGTAGTCTATATAATCAGACAAGCACCGTTGAATTGAACGACATTGAGGTTTCATGTTTTCTCGCTATGTTTCTATTATTGCCGGGGTAAATCGCGTAACAACTTGGGTACATTTGCGGGTTCAGTCGTTTTTTGTTGTTAGGGGAAAGTCTGTTGCGTCCACATAAGGCTTCAACAAATCTTTCAATTTATGTCTAGCGTAATGCAACCGGGAACGTACTGTTCCCTCGGAACAGTTGAGAATCGAAGCAATTTCTGGATGTGTTAAGCCTTCAAACTCGTGGAGAATAACAACGGTTCTTTGTTTGAGCGGCAAACTATTCACCGCTTGGGTGACCCATCTTTGCCGCTCTTTTCTTTCAAGGTTCAGGTGAGGATTATTTGCCAAATCTGTGGCTCGCCTCAAATCCGGATGAATCTCCATCTCACTAGTGCTTGAAAGTGGGGATTCACGACGGCGTTCCCGGCGTTTGACAAGGTTCGTAGCATGGTTGACGACAATACGATAAAGCCATGTTTCAAAAGCAGCATCCTTGCGAAAGCTGTGAATGGATTCATACACTTTCAGAAACGTATCTTGCATGACATCATTTGCGTCTTCATGGTTTTTTGTAATCTGAACCGCAACTCGATAAACGAGCCGCTTGTACTTTTCAACCAGAATCGCTAGTGCTGCCATATCTCCTTCACGGAGTTCATCAATAAGCAACGTTTCGATTCGTTCCACAGAACTTCCTCCCTAATTTTGCTGCTCTTAACCGTTTAGACAACTCAGCCTCAAGAACCGTTCAAAAATTTTGGCAGATTTTGATGTTTTATTAAAAAGCCAGATTAAATTAATACTATTTTATCAAATTTTGTGTTCCTTGTAAAGCCCTTTGATGGCAATCTTGCAAACAAACTTGTATAGCTCTTTGGAAATTTCTAGGCGTAAAAAAAAAGGGCAACATGCCTATGACACGTTGCCCTTTTTCAAAAATTGAAACCGAAGAATAAAACGGTTTATTTACTCTTTCGGTTTGGTGACGAAGGTAATCGTCGCTGGTGCACCATTAGCAGAACCATCTTTGACATCAAGCTCAACCTTGTAGGTTGTCTCGTTGGCGAGTTCCTGCCCTGCAACCGCAGTCAACGTTGCAGTTTGACCGCCTACGGTTGCAATCCAGTTGAGGTCTGCACCCGCTTCATCAGTCAGCTTAATGGTTCCTGTGACGGCTTCGTCGAAATCAAACCGGAAACCACCCGCATTGATCGGCGCGGGATCAACATCTGAGTCCCCATCAGCCACCGTACCACTGGTGATCACCGGAGGATCGACATCTGGGTCAGAAACGGTATAAGGACCGACCGCTTGAGAACCGGTGGTGCCGTCTCGGTTTGTCCACTCGACGTTCAATGTCGCGGACCCTTGCGCTAAGGCAGGAGATGCTGTCCAGTTGAGACCAGCTCCGGTGGCTGCAGCACCACTGACCGTCGCCGCTGTGACACCTTGATCAAACGTCAGCGAGAACTGTTGATTTGACGGAATCGTGCCACCGGCGGCTGGGTCTACCGTGACCATTGTCGCAGAAGGTGGGCCCTCTGCAGTGCTGTCATCGTCATCATCGTTTGCTGCTGCTGTATCATCATCATCATCATCATTGCCACCACCACAACCAGTGACCACGAAGGCGACAAACATGATGGATATTATAAGGGCTAGTACGCCCCAGAATTTGTGCTGCGTGAGTTGGTACATTTGTTTCGTATCTCCTAATTGTTTGCCGCAACTCATTTTTTTTATATGCTAAGGTTTATGAATCTTATGTCGTATGAACTTTTTGTGCCTCTCGTTTATGTGAGAGCCCCTCAAGTTCAATTGACTTCATTTTGGCAAGAGCGAGTTGCGACTAAAAATTGTAACTTGCTTCCAACGAAGCCAGAAAACATCATAAAGCATTCACAAAATGGTCATTTTGACCCTTGCGTTTCTACTCGCGGTGACCTTCTCATCCTTTTGGAAAGCTCCCCGCGTGTGGCCACAACGCAGGTTAAACGTTGTTATCCATTTAGCCTATCAAAGTTAGTGATTTTTGTAAAGAAAAATCTTCACATTTTTTTCAAAAATTTTGATTGCCAAATGTTTAATGGGTGATATTTTACCAAACTTTACAAAAAAAGTAAAGTGAAAAAAACGAAAAAAGGGCAAATTGTCCACAACAACATTTAAATTAACATATTCCACTGCCTAAATTCGGGGTAATTCGCTTGGTATATCCCATATACTGAGTCGATACCTATTACCCCGGCGGGGTGGTAGATTAGGGAACGCAAATTTGCGTTTCGTATAGAAATCGTAGCATATTTTCGTAAGAAACACAAGTCTTTTGTTGAAAGACAGAAGGTAGCAGTCTACATCCCCAAGTTAGAGAAACGGGACTTAATCCCAAAATTAAAGTAGTTTGTTTATTAATTGGGTGTGAGCCCTCATCATTTTATTGCTAAAACAGATCCATCTGTTCCCCTGTGAGGTGAGCCGCTTGAATTTTTTCTAGATGGTCGGGATTCGATAAAACATCAACGATCTTATCCAACTGATCCGGCGAGATAGGGTAAGCACCCTGCTGAATGAGTTTGCGCGGTCCCTCACTTAATCGAGAACGGTCATTCCAATTATAGGCACACACGAAACGTTCCTGTTCTAAGGCGAAGCGTGCTGTGCTAACCGCCCCACCGTTCTCCTCCGCTTCAACAACAATTGTTGCTATTGCAAGCCCACTGATAAGCCGATTCCGACGGATAAGATTGGCGGGTGTTGGTTGCGTCGTAAATGGATGTTCGGAAAAAAGTGCGCCGTTCTCACAGATCCGATCGGCAAGCTCCCGCTTTTCGTTCGGATAGATCGAAAGCAAATCGCTCCCCACGACACCAACGGTTGTACCATTGGCGTATAATACGCCTAAGTGTGCAGAGGTGTCAATCCCTTCGGCAAGTCCACTAACGACCGTCACTCCCGCTTGAGTAAGGCGTGTTGAAAGCTCAAGCGTTGCCAAAATTCCCAAATCTGTAGGGGTTGTTGTACCGACAATAGCGACAGCTTTTTCATTAACTTGAGATAGATTCCCTTTTTTACAAAGGATTGCCGGAGCGTTTGAGATTTCCCTGAGTTGCGAGGGATAGCCATCTTCTTCAACGCAGAGAATATCAATACCGCGACTTTTGAACCACTTGATGTGGCGGCGGAATTCAGCAACCCGTATTCTTGCCTTTAGGATCCGCACCGCTAGTAGCGGATTGAAGAGTGGCACCCGCGCAATTTCGGAAAGTTCCGCATCAAAGATAGCTTCAATTGTCCCAAAGCGATTGAGTAGACGCTTAATTCGCATTGGTCCCACACCGTCAACCGACGCGAGCGCGAACCAAAATTCTTGTCCTGACATAATCCATTGCCAGCCTTAAGGTCCTTTCTTCAGTTGCATGACAGAAGTTGAAGAGAAACACCACTGATAATATTAAAATGTAAGAAACTCGTAATATTTTGGAATGGAAAATTTCACTTGTGCACATAACGGCGCGCCAGAATAACTGCGTGCATCTGGTGCTGCGCCACATCAATCCGCAAGGGGGACTCACGGCGATGGTTTTGTACCCCGCCTATCGCGAACGGATCATCTGTCGGTTGGCTACGTATAAACTGGTTCATCAATGGGCTGCCGACCTGCCACGAGGTCAATTTTGTCAAGCCAGCCTCAATAACGCTAGCAAATTTCTCGATATGCTGAGTATCGTTGCGCTGCACAGCAAGTTGATAGGCATGGATAATACCTTCATACGCATAGGCAGTGTTACGCGTTCGTTTTAGAGTCTTGTGAACGTCGATCATCCAGTTGGCAAGGTCAATGACGTAATCGCCGTACTTCTCCGTATTATGCCAGCCGGAGGTTGCGATTTCAAAGAAAACCATGGAACTCCACTGATAGTATCCCTTCGTTATAGACGAATCGGGATCTTCCTGAAGGGCTTCTTGAATATTGTGATGATAGCCGGCATCGGCAGAAGCGATAATAATGGGCTGTAAATCTTCACGCCCCATATAATTCGCTGCTTTAATCAGTGCAAGAAGGGATTCACCATCAAAGTAGGGAGAGGACTTTCCGTATGGGTGTCCGCTGGTAACGCTGTAACTTCGGTGCCACAGACCCGCTGTTGGTTCTGTCTGTATACGTGCCTCGATAAGAAATTCAAGGTATTCATCGAGCAGTTGCTGATAATTTTGGAATTTTTCTTCGGTAATCTGAGATTTGGCAGCACGCAGGTAATCAATATGAGCGAGTGCACAAAGTGCCACAGTTCCTAGGCTTCCGGCCTCATCCCCCGGATAAGTTACATAGCGGTGACCATCAGGAGTAAGCTTTGAGTTTTGAGCAAAGAAATCCATCGCCTTCTCGACCGCTGCTCCGACCTCTGGATTCGGCGTATCGTTATATATCATCGCTAACCCCCACATTGCTCCAGCCTGCCGTACCTGACTATCGCCGGGGTCGTAAGTCTTTTTAACCCAATCGTAGATGTAGGTAAAATTGCCCTCTGGCTTTTGGTGATTAAGCATAAACTGCGTACCTAATTCAAGCGAACGGTCAAGTATTGCACGGTTTAGCGGTTCCGATCGATCGAAATCGCAGGAGAGCAGCAGTAGAGCCAAAGATATTACAATACCTGTCGCCCCTATCACCAAGGCGATACGGTGTGGCAGTTTTCTCGCTTTCGTGGTCGGATCTGTGTTGTTTGTGTTCATAATATCCTTTTTGTTCATAGCATCCTACTGAAAGCGATTGACACCTTGCACAGCAAGCGGTATTTTATAAATAAAGCGTAACGCCTTTGCAAAACTACTGATTGCATGTTGTGTGTTATCAATCCGTAATTGAGAGTCGGTGAGGGTCTTGCGAAAGCCGCCTTGTGCCATCTTGGGACGTTTCAAAGCGGCGGCATCGGATTCCCCGTATTGCAGCATGAGCAACCAGCGATACCCCATTTTTGCGCGTTCTTGATAGAGCCACAGTCGTCCTGCATCTCCTGTCAGGCGTGCAACATGGATGGCATCTCCCAATCCCTCCATGTAACTTGCCGTATTCGCGGAAGGCACACTATGAAAACTACCATAAGCCTCATCATCAGCTTCTAAATTTTGTTGCGTCAACAGTTGATCACTCAAGAAAAAAACATAGTCCGCGTACTTCTGTTCCCCGGTCTGCTCATAGAGCGATGCGAAAGCGGAGATAGTCCACGGGAGAAACGCATGCGACTTCCATTTTTCTTCATAATAGAACTCTAACGCCCAATCCATACTCTGTTTATAACGGATATCCCCGAAAGCCTGATACATGCCTGCCAACGCATAAAGTGCTTCACCGGGGTAAATCCTCGATTCCCAACCGGAGTTTTTCTCATACTCGTAGTCGCCGTAATACACATAGGTACTTTTATATTGGCCCGTGTTATATTTTTCCTGTAGAAACAAGATCATGTTTGCCAATTTCACCAAGATTGCATCGAATTCAGTCGTTCCGGTTAGCTGACGAATTTTGAGCATCGTCAACATGGGGAGGCTAATTCCACCGAGTTTCGCTTTCTGGCGAAAAAGGAAGTAGGCTTTGTCAGTATGAAGTGGCTCTGTAAAAGCCAACAGGTATTGGACACTCTTCCGCGCTGCCTCGAAATAACGGAGATCTCCTGTCATTTCATAAACCAACGCCAGTGAAAATGAGGTGCCCGCTTGACGCAGAAAGTTATCATCATCTTTACTGCTGAACTTATCATTAATGGGATCGTACCAATATTGAAATCGCCCGTGATGTTCTTGCATAGCAACGATCCAATCGGCACCGATACGCATTGAATGCTCCAGTGTTTCCACGGTCACATGCGCGTAACGTTCAGGCTGCGGTGCCGGAGGGGAAATGTTTTTCCAGAATCGTTTAATTTCTAAGCTAATTGCTTGGTGTTTCTCAGATCCGGAAAGATTTTTCCAGTATTGCCACTCCTTAGGATACTGACGCGTCAGATAGTAGCCTGTCCCAATCCCGGTGACCAATAAGACCAAAAACACTATACCTAGCACTCGGAACTTACGGAGAAATTGATAGATTTTCATTGGTTTTCCTGTTGCGTATTTTCGCTTATTTTATCATGCACTATAAAAAATTGAAAGCAAAAAAGGTCACCGATGTCTGACACCTGTATTGCTCAAGCAGCTGCGCACTGTTGTATCCGGTTTCAGGCGAGTTTGAATGCTACCGAGAAGCCAGCATTGTATCATTTTATGCAACGCTCAACAGACCAATGCCGGTCTGAACTTTGGACAGCAATAGCATCGGTAAGGCTTATTTGAGCGAGCATCGCTTCAATTTCGGGAATGGTAAGGGCAGCAAGAAAGGAATCGTAGAAGAGTTTCTTTTGGTAGGGGGTATCGTCAGCAGCGTAACGGTCAACGAGGGCTTGGGCGGCTTCGGGCGTATCAGGACGCATCAGATCACGGATGAGAATTAAACCACCGGGGCGAATGACACGGCCGATCTCCCGAAAGGCAGCCATCGGATCGGGGAGGTGATGGATAATGCTGTTGGAAATCACGCCATCAAACGATTGATCTGGATAGGGTAGGGCTTTCGCATCAACACATTCCAATGCGATCCGATCCGCTAACCCGGCTTCAGCGACGTGCTGCTCGCCGAGTGTGAGCATGTTAACTGAGAGGTCAATCCCAGTGATTCGGATCTCGGGACAGCGTTGGGCTAAAAAGATAGGAATGTGGGCAGGACCTGTTCCGAGATCGAGAAAATGTCCTTCACTCGCACCAAGTTCAACCACGCGTTCCACGAATACCGTGTTGACAGCAGAGTGATCCATGGCGTCATACGCTTCCGCTTCTTCACGGGTGTCCATAACCTCGGGTTCTAAAATACGCTTCATCAACTCTCCTATCGGGTTGTTTAGTGTCTGATCTATTAAAAAACAAAAACGCTAACTACTTTAGTTGTTCCTTCATCTGCTTTCCGTAAACCTCAATTTCCGCAATTCGCGCTTCTTCAAACTCAATCTCAAATTGCGGTGCGACTTCCATTAGCTTGCGGGCATGGAACGGTTTCTGGAATTTTGCTTGAAGCAGAATGGCATTGGTAACAGCGTGGACACGGAGAACAATCGGACTTTTTAGGGGGTTCCTACTTTGACGTATGGAGGTCAACGGTTGCCACGATTGTGTATCATCTTGCCAATAGATCTCGAACCCGTTTAGATTGGTCGCATGAATCACAATTTTGTCAATCGATTGCTTCTGGCGGAATTGGATTTTGGCTTGGGGCTGAACCTTGACTTGTGTGAATTCCATCGTTCCGGGGGTTTTTCTCCAATGGACTGTCTCTGCTCCCTTATTCCTAATAATTGCAGAGTCCATCCGTCCAACAGCGTGTAATCCAAGTCTCCCGCATGTCTTGAGGTTTCCGTCGTTCATTTCAGGGCTTGAGCAGTCCCCTCCGTTTGTATCAAGTGCGTAATTCTTACTCCAGATATAGTTTGATTGAGGAATTAGCGCGCTACAACCACTCCACATCAAACACGCCGAAAAAAAGAACAACAATCCTAGTTTTGGTGCACTGAAACGGGTTATCATGATAGGCTTCCTCCCTCCTCAATGAGACGGTCAACTAGTGTCACGTTATCATAAATCTGATCGGGATGGTCTTTTGTATACATCCCAACCGCTATCGCGTCAATCGGCTTGATATGCTCAAGTGCGAACCGAAACGCTGGCAGCGGCTCACTTCTACCTGCAGCAAGGACTTTAATCGAGATCACCGGAAGATGCACGGCTTGAATTGCTGCAATCGCTGCATCCCGATCCGCATCAAGATACATCTCACGGTGACGGGTGTGATTGTAAAGCGCACAGACGTAGAAATCAACATCGTATCCTTCGTGATAGCACTGTTTCAGAATATGTGGTTCATGCGTTCCCAAACCGGGGGCAAACCCCAAATCTCGGATCAGTTTCAACGCATCATGCAATGTATCCAGTTTTCCCGCATCGTAAAGTTGATCCGTCGTTCCCCCGTGATGGTAGATGGCAATGGGTTGATAGCGGGCAATCAGTCGAATATGCGCCGCCAGATCGGCGTACTCACTCCCTTTTGCTGTCTGTGCAATCCACTGAATCCTTCCGCCACTGTTGCGGTATTCATTCAGGACCCGCATAATGTGGCGATCCGCCCGTGCCAACACGGTATTGATTCCGCACCGTTCTGCTTCACGCAGGTCTGCCATAATCCGATCAGCGGTATAGTAATCCTCCATCTCCTTCGACTTTGCAGGGGAATGATGGGAAATACCGCTATATGGGTTGCCGCCAATAATCAGGCGGCTCACCCGGTGCGGCCCAATGGCAATCGTTGGTAATTTCATGACAAGATCATACCTTTATTTGAATTGTTGAGTCTTGTCATGTAGTGCAGATTGTGTGCCAATCCAAAAGCCCTGTTTTCAGAGTTTAGCACGCCTCTATTGCACGGAATTGGGCAAATTCGCTCCACCGGCTGGTGACGGTTTGGTGCGAGTATGTTCGTGGACTTGCTAATGTGCCAACTGATTTTTAGTGCCGCATAAATTTTACTCGTTTTCCCCACGAATTTACACATTTTACACGCCGATACATACTAATATTTTACACGCAGGAGCGACAAACCGTGTGGCGGCACAGAAGCCCCAGCCACCGACCTATCCCGTGCATCGAGAATCTTGTGCAACTGATTGACGCTATCTTCTCTGTCGTACAGTTTCAAGATGGTGCCGACAATGGCGCGAACCATACCCCGTAGAAAGGCATCCGCTTCAATCTCAAAATAGACCAGATCCTGGTCTTGCCAACATCGACATTCGTAAATCTCACAGATTGAGTTGATTCGCTCACTGCCGGAGCGTTGAAAAGAGGAAAAATCCCGCTTGCCGACGAGTGATTGACAGGCTGTGTCTGCATCTCGCACCTCAATTGATTCGGGAAAAAAATAGGTACTGCTCCGCAGGAGCGCGGAAGGGTATGCACGATTGAGAATCGTGTACCGATAGCACCGACTCACTGCACTGAACCGGGCGTGGAAATCTGGCGAGACCTCTTCTGCATTTATAACGACGATGTCTCGTGGCAAGGTAGCGTTGAGTGCTTTCTGGAACGAGATCAGCGGCATCTGGGAACGGGTGTGAAAATTGGCAACCTGACCGGCGGCATGTACCCCTGTGTCCGTCCTCCCTGCCCCAATGATTGACGTCTGTGTCTTGGTAATCTTTGTAAGTGCATCTTGGATGGCTGTTTGAATCGTTATCGCGTTGGGCTGGATCTGCCAGCCGTGATAGTTTGTGCCGTCGTATTCGATTGTAAGCTTGATGTTTCGCATCGTTATTTATAGCCCAAAGCATCATGTTTTCCGCTTGATTCTTTTTTTTCGTAATGCTAAACTGTTGTGAAATTAGTTTCTACATTCACAGAGGGAAAATATGCGGATCAGTGAGGCACAGAAAGAACAGTTTGCAGAAAATGGATTTTTCATCCTTGAAGATATCTTCAACGAAGCGGAGATCGACAACCTCACCGCCGAGATCGAAAGGTATGTTGATGAAGCAAATCAGCAGCTTAAGGCGGCTGGCGGAAAGGGAATTAGCCGTCCGGACGAGATTGTGTTTACTTCCTTCATTGCGGAAAAAAACGAGAAGATTCTATCCTTCGTCAAACAGGCTAAATTTGTCCAACTGACGACAGATCTCATCGGTCCAGATGTGCGTCTCTACTGGAATCAGGCGGTCTTCAAGTATCCCGAAACACCGCAGGAGTTCCCGTGGCACCAAGATAACGGATATACACCACTCGATCCGGAGCAGTATTACACCTGCTGGTTGGCACTCAGTGATTCAACGTTGGAAAACGGCTGTATCTGGGTGCTGCCCGAAAGTCATAAGCTCGGCACGCAACCACATGAGCGAACAGTGTTAGGGCAGGTCGGATACTCTGGCGATGATTCAGGGGTTTCTGTGCCGCTCAAAAAAGGAAATATGGCGGTTTTCTCATCGTTGCTTTTTCATCGAAGTGGTCCCAACCTGACGGAGGGGGTCCGCAAAGCATATATTATTCAGTATATACCGGCTCACGCGAGAAACGCAAGAAATAACGAACCTTTTACGGATAGGCTCTGGGTTGCAAAAGACGGGAAACGGTATGATCGCGACCCTTCGGATGGGTAAGATTAGAAAACAGTTTTTGACGCTTCGGATGGGGAGTGAAGAAAATCAACATGGAAGACATTACGCTTGCGTATTCAACGGATTCTGTTAATTGGACAGAACTGGCTGAAGTGTACCGCTTGGCACCGTTGGGCACATACGATCCGGAACGGTTACAGCGCGCTTACGAAAAGAGCCAGATCTGCTGCTTTGTATATTACGGGGCTCAGTTGATTGCTGCCGGGCGGGCATTGTCCGATGGGGAATACTTCGCTTTCATTTGTGATATCGTTGTGCTACCGGAATTTCAACGACAAGGGATAGGGACACGCATCATGAACGCGATGTCCGAGAGGTTAGCCGCTGAAAAAGTGCTTCTCGCTTGTGTGATTGGGCAGGAAGACTTCTATAGAAAACAGGGTTTCTTGAGACATAAATCCGTTATGGCTCTGTATCCGAATGCCGAATGGTATAAGGAGAACGGGCTTTTGGAGTGAAGGAGGACAACATGGAACGTCTTGAATACGGGAACACAGGACTTGAAATCTCGCGCCTCTGCTTTGGGGCGGGACATCTTAATAACGTCTGTGCGAATTACGCAGAGGGCGGCGACCTGTTACGTGAGGCATTTGATCAGGGAATCACCTTCTGGGATACGGCTGAAGGGTATGGCAGCCAGCCACATCTGGGTGCAGCATTGAAGGGACTTGAGCGGGACCGAGTGGTTATCCAAACGAAAACTGGAGCTAAGGATTATGACGGTGCCCGCGAGAGCATTCAACGCTCACTCCGAGAAATGGGGACCGATTACATTGACGCGCTTTGTTGCATGGCGTTTCCTCGCCTGAAGATTTGGAATCGCGGGAAGGAGCCATGTCAGCATTTCTGGATGCCAAAAGCGAGGGGACTGTCCGTGTCATCGGTTGCTCAACGCACCTCTTCACTGGACCTGTGATGGATGCCGTCATCGATCACCCTGAGATTCAGGTCATCTTGGCGACGGCAAACAAGGAGGGCAGAATGTTGGAGGGCGGTCCGTTAGATCAGCATCTTGAGTACCTCCGGCGAGCTTATGACCTCGGCAAAGGGTTGAGTATTATGAAGGTCATCGCAGCAGGAGGCATTCCTGAATCAGAACTTGAAGATTGGATCCGCTGGGGATTTGAACTGGAGATCGCACACGGCATCAATCTCGGCATGTCCAACCGGTCAGAAATTGATTTCGATGTACGGATCGCGCGTGAACATGCGAGGCAACGCCTGCGTAAGGTTGCGTGAGAAGCTATAAGGATTTTCAACACCTCAAAGGAGATTTCAATATGACAGAGCATACGCATAACGCTTCACCTACATCTACAGTGATCCCTGCTTCCGAGACAGCTGAACGGATGGCAGTCGCCTGCGCGAACTTTTTAGAAACTTTGACGCCGGATTTGCGGCGGAAGGCGGAATTTCCGTTCAAAGACGGCGAACGTCAACGCTGGCACTACATCCCACGCGAGATGTTTGATCGTAAAGGGGTATATATCCAAGAGATGAATCAGAAGCAACGGGATGCGGCTTTCAGTCTGCTTGCTACCGGATTAAGCCGGACAGGCTATCAAAAGGCAACGGCGATTATCGATTTGGAAGCCACGCTCGGTGAGCAGGAACGGATGGAAGGGGTGGCGCAGCTCGTCCGAGATCCCGAACTCTACACATTCAGCGTTTTTGGAGATCCGACGAACCACGGTCCTTGGGGGTGGCGGGCGGAGGGGCACCATGTCTCACTCCATTTTACCGTTGTGAACAGGGAGTTGATTACGCCGAATCCGTTCTTCTTTGGATCTAATCCCGCAGAGGTTCGGCATGGTCCCGACAAGGGACTGCGGATATTGTCCGCGGAAGAAGATCTCGCTAGACAACTTTTGGGATCTCTCAATCCGGATCAGAAAATCAAAACGGTTATCAACGAAACGGCACCCGCGGACATCCTGACGCGAGATGTTCCAAAAGTCCAACTTGACGCCGCCGAAGGGCTGGCAGTTGAGTCGATGACGACCGGACAACGTGAGGTTCTAGCACAACTCATCGACACTTACATCGATCGGCTCCCGGAACAGTTAGCGAAAATTGAGGGGCAGAAATTGCGCGATGCGGATATAAACGATATTCACTTCGCTTGGGCAGGACCGGCGAATCGCGGACAACCGCATTACTACCGGCTTCACGGTACCTTCTTCTTCGTGGAATATGACAACACGCAAAACGACGCGAATCATATTCACACCGTTTGGCGACATATCGAAGATGATTTCGGTATAGACCTGCTCCGTTCCCACTATCAGAACGGACACCATCACGTATAAAACGGGGTTCGGCACCGATGAACCGTGCGAGGGTGCATGTCCTTCGCACGGTTTTATGATTCGAGCCGGTTCGCCCGAAACCACTCATATATCAGCACACTACCTGCTACTGCCACGTTGAGCGATTCTACCTTGCCTGTCATCGGCAGCCGCGCCCACCCTTCGATCTGTGCACGTACAGCATCGGATATGCCCCGCACATCATGGCCCAGAACTATGGCGACCCGACCTTTCCAATTTTCCTGATTCCAAGACTTTCCGAGATGTGGATCTGCCCCCATCGTTCTGAACTCCTTTTCACGCAGCCACCTAAAAAGCCCCGGAATGTCCGTTGTCTCTACGAGAGGGACGCTGAACAGTGAACCGTGACTCCCTCTTACAGACTTAGGGTGGAAGATGTCCACGCAGGGTGGAATCAGAAAAACGGCTGCAGCCCCAACGGCATCCGCAGTGCGGAGAATCATCCCTAGATTGCTCGGTGTTTGTGTTCCATCAAGAACAAGGACTAGTTCATCCCCGGTCAAAGTGATGTCCTGAAATGACACCTCAAATCGGGCGAAAGTTGCCACAATATGCGTCTGTATGACATTGGGCGGTGCCTTATGAGGAGAGGCGTATACGTTGCCTGCAGCAGCCGATAGCGTATGTAACACTTGAGTCGACACTGGAGCAAGGGTTGCGCCGGCTTCTCGCAAACGATTGAGAAGCTGCCGCACTGTCTTTTCACCGCATTGTTCCTCACAGTAGAAGACTTCGATCGGTTGTATCCCTGCATCCAGCGCCAGATCCAAGATTTCAAAGCCTTCGACTAGGAAGCGTTCTTGACGATGACGGTGCTTACGTGTCTGGAGTTTGCGGGCAGCGACAACTCGCGGGTTGTTGATGCTGGTAATAACAGAATGGTGTTGGGGGGATATGGATTTGTGTTTCTGCAAGACACTGTTCTCCTGCACCGCATGGAAGCGGAAGAAGAAGGAATCTGAATGGCTAATAACTAAACACTGGCGATAACCACACGCTCAATACCAGCATAATCTTTGATAACTTCACAGTGCCTATATGCTGGCTGTGATTTAATCAGGTCTTGAACAGGGTGGTTTTGGTTGCAACCGATCTCCAAGATAAGTTTTCCTTCCGAATTCAAAAACTGCGGTGCGTCTGTTACGATGCGCCGAATGATATCAAGACCATCAACGCCAGCGAAGAGTGCTATTTCCGGCTCATGCTCCCGCACATCCAGCGGAAGGGTTGACGCCTCGTTTGTGCCCACGTAAGGCGGGTTGGAAGCAATCCAGTCAAAACGAGAGTTGGGTAGTTCTTGCAGAGGCTCAAACAGATCGCCTTGTAGGAATGTGAGTCGATCTGCACAGTTGTGGGTGAGTGCATTCTGTTGGGCAACTTCTAAAGCTTCCGTTGAAAAATCTGTGGCAATCAGTTCCCAATCAGGACGGTGATGACCAAAACTAACCGCGATGGCACCACAACCAGTCCCAATGTCAACAAATCGGCATGGCTCCTTCTGATGTTGTAGGACCGTCTCAACGAGGATCTCCGTCTCGGGTCGCGGAATTAGCACACGCGAATCTACATAGAAGTCCAGTGACATGAACTCCTTGTGGTTGGTGAGATAACTCACAGGAGTGTGCGCTATCCGCTTTTTGATTAGCTCCCGAAATTTCGAGAGCGCACCTTGGAAGACAGGCATCTCGAAGGAAAGATAGAGTTGTAAACGACTCTTTTGCAGGAGGTATCCAAGCAACAATTCCGCGTCTAATCGCGGGGTGGGGATTTCGTGACGTTCAAAGTATTCCGTCGTCCACTCGATAAGATCGATCACGCGCCAAGTTTTCACGACGATAAGTTCTTTAATTGCTCCGCTTGGTCAGCGTCTATCAAGGCATCAATGAAAGTGCCAATGCCTCCATCTAAGACCACATCCAACTGATAAACGCTTAAACCGATACGATGGTCTGTCACCCGACTTTGGGGGAAGTTATATGTGCGAATTTTTTCACTTCGATCGCCGCTGCCAATCATAGATCTCCGCGTTTGCGCGCGTTCGGCATTCTGTTCAGCTTGCATCTGTTCAAGCAGACGGGAACGCAAGATCTTCATCGCCTTGGCTCTATTTTTATGTTGGGACTTTTCGTCTTGGCAGGATACCGTGAGCCCGGTAGGAATGTATGTGACCCGGACTGCCGAATCGGTTGTGTTGACACTCTGACCGCCCGGTCCCGATGAACGGAACGATTCAATCCGCAAATCTTCTGCGTCAATCTTGAGGTCAACCTCTTGCGCCTCCGGCAATACGGCGACAGTTACCGCCGATGTGTGGATGCGGCCACTAGCTTCCGTTGTGGGGACGCGCTGCACACGGTGTGTACCACCTTCAAACTTCAACTGACTATATGTCCGGTTCCCGTTAATCGAAAAAATAATTTCTTTGAAGCCCTTCAAACCGGTTGCGTTGGAGTTGAGCAGTTCTATTTTCCAACCCTTCTGATCAGCGTATCTCGAATACATCCGGAAAAGCTCTCCGGCAAATAAGCTCGCTTCTTCGCCCCCTGTACCTGCGCGGATCTCCACAATCACATTCTTCTCATCGTTCGCATCCTTCGGGATTAGCAAGATTTTCAGCTGCGTTTCTAAGTCGTCTTTCTGCTCAGTAAGCGCATCAAGTTCTTGCTTGGCAAAAGCAATAAACTCAGTATCGGTTTCTTGTTCAAGCAGGGCAGAGGTTTCCTCGATCTCTTTGGCTGTTTTTTGATAAGCCGTGTACTTTGAAACAATCGGCGCAAGTCCCGCGTGCGACTTTGCGAGGTTTTGCAGGTTTTGCTGATTCGCGATTTGTGCGGGATCGGCTAAACTTTTTTCTATTTCTAAATATCTTGTTTCTATCTCTTTTAACTTCTCAAGCATAGTTGGGTTATCACTTTAGTATTAAACGGGTGTTGATGCCGCTTTATTGGTAGCGTTGAGATTTGGATTTTCCATACCGAATCCAGCTTCACGCCGTTTGCTCGATTCGGTTCGCGCTTTCTTGTACCATGCCTCAAACTCAGGCGTCCAAGCACTGTCATGTAACGTTGCCCGTTTGCGATAGGGAACGTAGTTGCCCAGATGCCAGAGTGTATTTCGGTAGAGCGCGAAATCTCCCGCTTCTAGATGCAACTGTACCGCCCCGGGCATACTGCGACAGTATTCGAGGCAGAGTGGTTCCCGCTCTTCAGCGGACTTGCCATCAAGGTCCACGCTCGGTATCGGTCGATCCGGGAAGCGTTCAATTTCTGCTGGTAAGTCTCGCCTCAGATGGCTACCCAGAACAAACCATGTCGAACTGTCTTCATACAAGGCGCAGTTAATCTGATTGAAATGGTTAATGTCGCTGAACACTTCATCCCACATTGAGAGCGGTAAGCCTGCGGCATTATCACGCCAGTCTCGATGCCATGGCGTGCAGTATGGCATATCCGCAGGTTCAAACAGAATACCGAAGTGGTCTCGATCGCCATGACGATGGCGCGGCGTTAGTACCTTGGCAATGGCATCAACTAGTGGCGGTAGATTGGCGTAGTCAATGAAGGGCTGCTGGTCAAGGTCGTAGCTTACAACAGGTTGGAGGCGCTGCACTTGAGGACCGCTTTGCTCACGGGCAATTGCTTTCGCCCTGTCACTGGCTTGCCGCAGATCCCGAATCAATGACGGTGGAAGAATCTTTTGGAAAACTGTGTAACCCAGCATATGGTATTCTTCGATATGTTTATCAGATATTTGAAATCCCATGTGTTACTTTCTCCTCCACCTGCTATGCACTGCGGAATTTTCTCAGAACCTCAGAAGGGCAGATGGTCGCTCGTACAATTTATCAGTTGACCTCTGCCCTCTCATGTTTCATAGCCGACAAGCATTCAGTACCTCTAGTACACAAAGTTTAATTTGAGGGGTTCAGCTGCCGGTATTTGTAACTAAACCATATTTAGTTTTCATCAGCAAGACCATACCTGCGGCGGAAATTTTCCACACGTCCCGCCGTATCAACAATTGTCTGCTGTCCAGAGTAAAATGGGTGACACTTTGAACAAATTTCTACGCGGATTTGGGGTTTTGTAGAATAGGTCGTATGTGTTGCACCACACACACAATTGATGACACATTCCATTGTTTCTGGATGGAGATCTGGTTTCATGAGGATACTCACCTCCTTATAATTTTATTTAACGGTCAACTCAGCACTACCACTGATACCGTCCACCACGGGTGGGACCGTTGGCTTTGGTATTGTTTATCATCATATCAACAAACTCCTCGTTTGTCTCTGTTTTTCCTAAGTGTTCAACAAGGAGTTCCATTGATTCAGCGGTGTTCATCTGCCCCATGAATTTGCGCAAAATCCACGCTTTGCTGAGTATCTCTGGCTTTAGAAGCAGCTCCTCGCGTCTGGTCTTCGACTTGCCGATGTCGATGGAGGGGAAAATACGCCGTTCTAGCAGAGAACGCTCTAAGTGAATCTCCATGTTTGCAGTACCTTTTAACTCTTCATAAATATGCTCATCGCCTCGGCTTTCGGTATCAATCAATACGGTAGCTATGATTGTTAAGCTGCCGCCATCCTCAAACTTTCGTGCCGCCCCGAAAAACTGACGTGGCTTCATAAACGCAAGTGCGTCAATACCACCCGATAATGTTTTACCACTGTGGGGTGCCACAATGTTACAGGCTCGCACGAGACGTGTCATGCTATCCAGCATAATCACCACGTCTTTACCATATTCGACCCAGCGTTTCGCCTTTTCAATGACCATATCCGCAACTTGTACATGCCGTTCCGGAGGCTCATCAAAGGTGGAACTGATAACCTCCCCTTTTATGGAGCGGGAAACATCCGTCACTTCTTCTGGACGCTCATCAATTAATAAGAAGATGAGCATAACTTCTGGATGATTCTCCTCGATACCGTGGGCGATATTTTTTAAGATTGTGGTTTTGCCGCTGTAAGGTGGAGCGACAATCAACCCACGCTGACCCTACCGATCGGGGACATCAAATCGGTAATACGTGTCGAATATTCCTTCGGATTATGTTCAAGTATTAGCCGCTCGTAAGGGTAGACAGGGGTCAATTATCGAAAAGGATTGTATCCTTTGCACCTGTCGGAGCTTCGTCATTGACTTTCTCGATTTTCAATAATGCGAAGTAAAATTCATCTTTGTCGCCGCCCTTTTTAGGAGGACGGATTTGTCCCTGAACCTCGTGACCTGTACGGAGGTCAATTTGCGTATTTGCGAGGGAGAGACGTAAATATCATCGGTACTTTGCAAATAGTTATAGCTCGATGACCGAAGAAAGCCGTATTTTTCTGGTTAAAATTTCAAGGATACCCTCTCCGAACAACAAGCCGCTGCTCTCCGCTTTGGCTTCAAGAATTTGGGCAATAAGCTCCTGCTTGCGGAGGCTACTGTATCCCGTCAGCCCCAGCTTCCGAGCCATATCATTCAATTCGGAGATCGTCATCTCTTGGAGTTTGACAATGTCCACATTTCATAATTTTGTTGCTCCTCATTGCGAGATTCTAACCGCTTGCAGATTGCCTAACACTCATATCTTTTACACTAACCCCAAATTGCACAAAGCATCTGCAGCAGACAATCCACGGTTGACGCTACGTTTCGGGAAAAGATGGTATACTCCAGACGGTCATGTAACAGGTAAGTGACAGCATCATAGACAGAAGATGTGTAATAACTCACCGGTTGACCTATAATTTGTGACCGTTGGCAGCATAGTGGGGGGAAATTATCGAAAAGAAAGTTGGATCAAATTAAGATAAAAGACAAGGGTACGCGGAATAGGGATTGGTTAAGTCTTAAATTATAGGGAATTCCCAAACGGGTAACATCGAAGAGGCATCAAATCGGTGTTTGAAGGCATTCAAGATAGTACGAAATATAGCAGCGGACGGCTGTTGGTGGGAATTATTCCTATTAGCAGTAAAATTATACATTAATGGGCCGCTCAACGTCAAGTATTTTATTAAAGAACTGTAAAAATATCCAAATGAGCCAATGGATGAAGGCTTCAAATTTAGCGAATTTGCTCAATTTTTCCCGATGAGAATGAGCGGGAACGGTTACGAATCTTGCACCTCTAAACCTGCTTCATCGTCCACCTGTGCCTCACTTTCTACGCCGGCTGTCAGCTGCAAGAAAAGTTCCTCAAGCGTCATTTCGATGGAACGCATTTCAAGCAAATTCCAACCGTGCTGAATGATGCTTGATGAAACCGCTGCGCGAATATCTGTATTTAGTTCATAATTGATGTGGAATGTTGGATTGACGTTACCGTTCAGGTCTCGGCTTTCGACACGACTGACACCGGGTAGATTTTCGAGGACAGTCTTGACCTCCGTCTCTGGACCTGAGACCTCTAGATAAAGGGTTTTCGTATCGCCCAACTCGGTGTGTTCACCATCACCTGCGTCAATAGAAATAGCGCGCCCTTCTGAGAGTTTTACACCGCCGGCGATTTCACCGTCATTAATCACAATCAGACCGTTCACAGGTCATACTCGCTTCAGGGAGGATGTGTGTGTGCTGAGAATGATTGTGTGTTCCTTGCCGAGTGCCTTAATTAGTCACGGATTCAATAATCTGCCGTGGATCGAGTCCGGCTGTAGGTTCGTCGAGAACAATGACATCTGGATCATGAATCAGTGCCTGCGCCAAGCCGACCCGTTGACGATAGCCCTTGGACAGCTGCCCGATAATCTGACCTCGCCGCTCGGTCAAACTACAGGATTCAATAGCTACATCCAATCGCTCGGCACGCTTGCTTCGCGGCACACCTTTAATCTTTGATACAAACTTGAGGTAGCCGGTAACGGTCATTTCCGGATAGAGCGGCACACTTTCGGGCAGATAACCGATGTGCTTACGAACTTCCAAGGATTGCTTGAAAACATCGTATCCCGCGACCATCGCATTTCCACTACTAGCGGGCATAAAGCAGGTCAAAATTCGCATGGTGGTAGTTTTGCCAGCACCATTTGGCCCCAAAAAACCGATGACTTCGCCTTTGTCGATACGAAAGGAAATTCCTTTCAATGCCTGAAACGGTCCGTAATTTTTTGTGAGATTTTCAACTTCGATCATCCACCGATCTCCCATGGTAAATCTGTTTGCCATCAAGGAGTTGCCACCCACCGAGCTGCGGTGCTGCTACGAAGTATTGCATGAAAATCCCGATGCCTTCCATATCGTCATTCTCCTTAACGCCTGTACAGCTGCTTTGGTTACGAATCATGAATACATAGGGCTTTGACCCCTTCTGCATTTATTTTATCTGCTGTGAACACTTTGACGGAATTCCGGGTATAAGGTTGATTAGACGTATCGCTTCGACTGTACGATGTAGCCGAAATTCCGTGAGGCTCTTGACATACTCCCACACCCTAAAGGGATGGGGCATTGCACGCAAGATTGGTAAAACGCTTGATATTACAACTGCTCTCGGCAATCCTTTAGGGCTATGTTAGTTTTCGGTTTTCTGCTTGTCTGAGTCGGGATGCGGAAATCCCTCCTACAGTGATGTGTCGGGATGTGGAGATCTCTCCCATAGGAGAACGAAATGCCCCTAAGCACCGCTCGCAGTGGATCGCCAAATCCACTGCAAACCTGCACCGATGGCTTGGATATGGCTATCCAAGTCTTGGACTCTCGGCGAAGTTGGAGACGAGCGGGATTGATAAACAGAACACCATGCAAAACATGAAACTGGAAAGCTAAATGACCCTAGCAATCCTTGAAATTCCGTTGACGGGCTCTGTAATCTTTGATATACTGACGTAGTTTAAGACACAGTTCCATTTACTGAAATCAATCCATCAAGGAGCGCAGCATGAAAATTGACAAGATCGAATCCTTCTTCATCGGTGGCGGTTATGTGGTCCGTATCCACACCGATAACGGCATCAGCGGTATCGGTCAAACCGCCTGTTGGGGCTATCCCGAAGCGGTTGAGAGAATCGTGGCAACCTTTGAAAAATACCTAATCGGTCAGAATCCTCTGCGCATCGAACACCACTGGCAGTATCTCTACCGCATGGGTCCATTTCGCGGCACCGCTCTCTGTGGCGCAATCAGTGCGGTGGATATTGCGTTGTGGGATATCAAGGGAAAGCATTTCGGTGTGCCGGTATGGGAGTTGTTAGGGGGGAATTGTCGTGACAAAATTCGTCTGCATCTTATGGCTGGTGGGTCAACTCCAGAAACGATGTTTCAGACTGCGAAAGATACGGTGGAGGAAGGGTTCACTGCGCTGAAGTTCGATCCGGTGGTCGGTGGCTATCAGGACATGGCACTGGATCGCTTGGTCAAGACCGCTCGGGATCTGGTTGCAGCGGCGCGAGAAGGAGGAGGTCCCGATCTCGACCTCATCGTCGAAGTCCATCGCAAACTCACGCCGATGAACGGGATCGTCTTGGCAGAAGCGTTGATACCGTTTAATATCTATTTCCTTGAGGACCCCATCCAGATCGACAGCATCGTGTCGCAGGCGGAACTCGCCAAGCGGATGACCGTCCCCTTGGCGAACGGTGAACGCCTGACCACCATCTGGGAATTCCGTGAATTGCTCGCTGCCGGTGGACCTCAGTATGTCCGACCGGATGTAGCATTAGCAGGCGGCTTGACCCAATGCAAAAAAATCGCTGCAATCGCTGAGTCCTACCACAGCGCGGTTGTCACCCACAATTTTTTGGGACCGTTGACCACAACCGCCTCGTTACACCTCGACACGAGCATCCCGAACTTCATCACCCAAGAGTACACTAAGGGTGACGAATCGCCTAATAACGCTGTTTACAAAACGTGCTATCAGCGTGAGGGCGGTTATATTCCGATTCCTGAAGCACCGGGACTCGGCGTGGAGTTGGACGATAGTCTGATAGAGCAGCCCCTACCAACCGATGAACACCGGTCAGACCCTGTTGCGCGAAGATGGCTCGGTCGCTTACGCTGTGTGATGGATAACAGACAGAAGGGAGAGCAACTCATATTAAAGCACACTTAACAGATCTGGCAACGCATGTAAGGTTTGGATGGTTTCTCCCCACTGCCCGGTCTGCGTTCCGTCCCGGTCTAACAGAATTGCACGGAGACCGGCGGAGTGCGCTCCCATGATGTCTGCCTCGAAGGAGTCCCCGACATGAACGGCTTCTTTCGCGGACACACCAACAGCATTTAAGGCATATTCAAAAATGGCTGCGTCCGGCTTCGCACTCCGTACCCGCATGATCATGGGAGGCGACGACTACCTCAAATAGTAAGCCCAAGTTCTTCAACCATGGCATGTAAGGGCGTATCCCAGTTGGAAATAGACCTCTTTCCAAAAAGATAATAGTTATACAGCATATCTGAGGTTGACTAAGCAGCAGCAATGACATTCCAAGTCTTGCCATAATTTCTATGCTGCCGCGATACCTTTGCTGGGTAATCCGGAATATCTTGCACCGTCGGTTGACATGTTCAATAACTATTCTGCGCCGAGACAATCGCTTCATTGAACCGACGCTCGGCATCAGATAGAGGCTTGTTCCGGCTTCGCTTGACCGGGCTGACACTGTAGGATAGGACCTTATCTATGCCTTGATATCCCCCGTCAGCTAGCTTCTCAGTCTACGGTTGATAGGTAGACGGCTCTCTTTGAGTATCCGAAAATCGTGGACGTTTGCCCTTTCGACAAATGACCGATAGAATCTGCAAACTCGCCCAGCAGATAATCAGTTGGACTGTGAGAGTATGGCATTTTTTTACCGGAGTAATAGTAGTGCTGTTGATGCTTGGGACGCTCAATCGGTTGTCGTGCATTCAATGACAACACTATCTAAGTCGCTACGGAGTAATTCTTTCTTGCTGTTCATTGGCAAAAACGCGAACCAGAATGTCGAGCATTCGGGTTGATAAATCTTGTTGGCGTAAGATTCACTGATTGAAAATCCTTGCCCAAACTATGGACAAAGGTAGGTAGGATAATGTCTGAGGGTAAGTCAGGTGAGTAATAGCTGGTCTGCGAGGCTAATTGTTGACTTGAGTCCTCGTTTTTCATGGGGTTTTTCTCGCGTTGAACTGCCAGATAAGTCGCGACTTTGTCAAGGAGTGTTGAAAGGTTGCTTGCTGATGCCCCACGTCTCGGAGAAAGCGTTCGTCGGATTGTTCAAGGGTTTGCCTGAAAGATGCTCATGGGAATTCCTTCCTGTTTGGGCTTGAATGTATCGGTTGTGAGAGGAAAGAAATTATACCTTCATATCCAATTTATGGAAGCATTTATTTAAGAAAGATGTCTACTCTTCAACCAACTCTCTTCCGGCAAACCCGGCATCATCTCGTGCCAGTATAAGATTGCTTCTTCCCCAGCCCTCCAGCAGGAGGTAGACTTCCCTACCCCGCGAAGGTGAGGGAAGCAATACCCGCGGATTAATC